TCGCATATGAGGCTTCCCTTGCTGCAATGAGATTAAACAGTGCAAGATTTACTAATAGACCCAGAATCAGAAATCCTGAATGACATGTGTTCTGAGATTTTTTTTTTCTATAAAAGGAAAAAAAAAGAAAAAGAAAAAAGGGTAGGGTTGTGTGCATGGGGGTGGGCCTACCGGTGGCGATCCTCTGGGCCCGAAGGATATTCTGCCTCCTTTTCCTCCAGCATATTAGACAAGTGCCCAGTAGAAGAAATGCAAGAACTGATCCCAGTGCAATCCCAATCTTGGCTACTGAGGAGAGGTGAGGACCACAAGAGGGTAGCCCAGGTATGCCGCAAAGCCCTCCATTGCCAGTGAAACTGCCAATGGCAGCAGAAAATCCCAGGTTATTAAAAAAAAAAAAAAACTGTAAATTTTTGAATTGGATCGGATCAAGAGAAACTACACACTTGAAGCTAGCTCTGTGAAGAGGCCGTCCTCCAAGAGAGGCAGGAACCCTTCCAGATAGAAAGTTTCCATTGAGATTCCTACGCAGTCATGCAGATCCAGGCTCTCATAAGTCTATGCTTCCTATTCCCGGAAATAGTAAAAATAAAATAAAAAATAAAAACAAAACTCAGAGATCAATTTTTTACAGTATCCGTAGCCGTTTCAGTTGGCCAAGCGTCTCAGGGATGGAACCATTCAGCACGTTGTATGAGAGATCTCTGCAAAAAAAACCCTCTTTTAGTTAATTAAAAGCTGCATCAACTAATAATTTTCCTTTTATGACTTGAAGGTATTTGCTTCCTAACATTGCTAGGAGTTTTGCCCATTTAATGACGGACAAAGGACCTTGCAAACTCAAGTAGGAAGAAGAAAATCAAGTGAATTGGGGTATGCATGCTTTGCATATTTGCTGCACAGTTCAATGTTATGATGTGAATAAAGAACGCATGATCAAAGTTCGCATTGAGTTGGGGAAAATTAAAATTTTTCAATCATATTACATTGAAGTCCGTATAAATAAACAAAAGCTTTGCAAAGCGCTGCAATATAAACTGTGACAACAACCTGAATTGAAATAATTGCCACTATAATGATGCGGACTTTGGCTCAAAGCTACTGCGTCGAAAGTTTTTTTGAGAGACACTTTGGCCATTCAGAGCATTTTTTAGTAGAAAGACGGAACTAAACCTACCACGCTAAGTGACAGTGCCATCTTCCAAGGCTACCCGTCTGTTTTCTGTTTCAGTGACAGTGTCTATGTGATTGTCTATGATACTTCTTTTGAAAATTGGTGATGAATATCAACGAATCTTCACTACAAAATGCAAAAAAATCGTCAAAAATGTTCTATGGAAATGATACGATGATGACCCTACATGAGGATGGATATTCTCTTTTGTTTCGGTGGTGTTCTTGACTGAATAGGAAACAAAGCAGCGGCCAATGGAGAAAAATTCCAATTGGTGACAGGCTTGATGATGGGCAATAAAGATTCCTACCCGCTAGCTTCTAGGCAGCCGACTAAGAAAGCTTGATGAATAGGAACCTCCTTTCTGCTGTGAAACTTCACATTCAAGTGGAAGAAGAAAAAAAATCTATGCGAATACAATTCCACCTTTAAGTAGCGAAAGAGTACACACCAGCATCCGTTTCATTTTAAACCCATAAAATTATGTTCTTGCCTAGAAATGTTGGAAGACAGTGTAATCCTTGGCATACTGAACAGGTAGCATAAATCATCAAAAGAACACCGATCCAAGTCTAGTGCCGGTGTCAAATGATTAGCAGGAACCAAAAATGTTTTTGCCACGTTGCACCAGGTCAAATAAATTTTTCTGATGAAGTGTAAATACATAAAAACAATGAAAAGTAAACAGAAGAGAGGTTCGTTCTATACTTTGGCAGTTCACGGTTCATGCGAATTCACAGACCCTTTTATTTAATGATTATCCAGTACGAACCGGTTTCCGAAAATAGTGATGTGATTGTGCGCCTGTGTTTATTCATTTCAATTTTTATATTTTATCTTTTATAAGAGGATCGAGATAATTTATTTTTCAAATTAAATATCTCCACTTATTTTTAATGCTTTTACTATTTTATTTCATTACCTTGAAAATTCCATAATTTTTAATTATCATTATTAATCCTAATATATTTAAATGTTTAGCGAATAATAAAAACATTTTATTTGCACATCATAAGTCTTCCTTATTTATGATTAAAAGTTTTAGAGATTGATGTTTTTCCTTGCGTGCTAATGTTTCCTCAGAACTTTGTAATTTCATAGAGTTTTAGATTACCTATAAGAGATTAACGTATTTAGGCAGTCTTGCAATTCATTTAACTTTGCTAGATTCTTCATAATTTCTCGACAATTCTTACAACTAGATATTTTCATTTGAATTTCAAACATCTCTCCCATCTCCAATCAGCAAAAAAAGCATGTACTTCTACTAGTGGAATAAAACTAACGAGAGGAAAATTTTAAAGATATTTGATTTTGAACGAAAGGTGAACGAGAATATTTTGGGCCAAAAAACAGATCCTACCTTCCAGTGAAGGATAAAAGATAAATCAATGCACAGTTACATGTTAGTACAATGATTCCTTTTAATAAAGTCATGCATAATTATGCATCGAAGTAGTTTCCACATGAAAAGAAATCATTTGAATGCTTAGTGGATTCATAGAAAATGATTTTTATGAGATTATATTGACTCTTTACTTGATGGACCTTTAACCTCTAGATGGGAAACTGGACTTTAACTATTTTCCTCGAAATGAATATTTTAGTATTGGAATTTGATCGAATGAAGAACTCATCAAATTTACAAAAAAGACCCAATTAAAAATTTGAATCATAATATGATTGCGGAAACAAGACTCTGCAAAAATCGACTTATTATGCACAGTTAATACAAATATGGTCCATTGACTTTAACGAGTTCAGAAAAGTGAGTTCAGAGGCTATCCACCACAGGATGAAGTCATTGTAGTGATTGCGAATTCAATGAATCAGTAGAGATTAGATTTTTCCAAGGATTACATATTCAAAGAAACTTAATAAGAAATAACCTTTAACTTTTTCAGTCTTAGAGCATTTTAACTATGTTGCCACGTGTGAGACACCATACGCACTCCCTGACACCATGAACTCGTTTTGTTTTTCTCCAAACGTAAAATGGTAAACTCTCTAGAAAAGTTGAACTATAAACTAGTTTTTCGTTGAAGGCCCTAGCATGATATAATTCAATTCCAGATGCAGTCAACCTTCGAAAAGACAACTTGAGAAACGAACTCACTAAAAACGAAGAACTTGTAAATTCAAAGGATGCAAAGAAATAAGCACGATGCAAATGTCAAGACAATGTCCTAATCGTTGACTTTGTTCCTCTTCTAGTCTAACCAGAGAAAGTGGGCTTCGTATTTCTGGTATAATTTAGCAGCAAGATCTTTCAATTTTCGTCTTAAACATAAAATTAATCCGTCCTAGTTTCAAAATAATCAAGAATATTAAATTTCTAGGGCTAGTATGTGGGTGTAACTTTCTCGTGGGTAAGAATAGATGTAATTCCTGGAAGAGAAAACATTCAAAAAACGAAGATGTATATAGAAAGAGAACATATGCATAGAAAAACAAAAAGCTTTAGAAGTTTACGCACAGTGTTTCTAGTGCAGAGACTCTTCCAAGAGAATCTGGTATAGGTCCATGGATGGCATTTCCGCTCAAGTTTCTAGTATGAAAAGGAACAAACCAATCAGTCTTTAAACAGACAGACTGTAGAAAAATATTAAGAAATTGAATGAAATAACTCAATTGTAACAGAAAAAGTCAACGCCTTTCAATAGAAAACAGGTTCCACCGACACAAGAGGAGTCACAAAAACCATGCTTTAGAAACCGACAGAGTGTAGAAAAACATTAAAAAGTTGAATGAAATGAATCAATTGTCACAGAAAAAGTTTATATGCCTTTCAATACCAAACAGGTTCCACCGACACTAAAATAGTAACAAAGCATGCTTCAGAAATTCTCCATTTTCTGAATGCATCTTATATAGACTTATCATTCCTTTTGCCTTGAAAGTTAATAGTGACATTTAATCATCACTTATGAAAAAGAAGAGCAAACATTTACGAGCTCTGACAAAGAGGGAAAATCCCCTTTCCAATTGAATTGTATATATACTCCGGGCAACTCAAATATTGAGGGCTCTCGAAAAGATAGACTGAGTCCCTCTCAGATTGCAAAATACTCTCGCCCACTTTTATAAACTAGAAAGATAAATGGACAGAATTATCAACCAGCAAGCTTTCATACCTAAAAAGGCAACCATCCCTATCCAACTGATCAGAGAATCTAATTAATTCATTATTATATTTTTAAAAATAATTTCGATGCTTTATTGAACAGAAATATTAAATTCAGTGGTGTAAAAAAGAAATATAAGTAAAGAAGGCATTAAGGAAACGGTTTTTAGTAAATCGTCTAAGATTGTCTGCCCTTAAGAGGTGAAGCCTGAAATGATCAAAGTAAAATTTTCATTCCCATAGACACATAAGCTTAATTTCGGGCCTATTATAAATTATTCGTGATATTTACAGAAACAACAGCATCCTTAACCATTTCTGCGTGTCTAAAACCAGCGAGGCACCATTAACAAATGTGAACTGGGAAGATAAATCTTCGTCAAATAAAGCATGACACCCATTTTATGAAAATCTCTTCCATATAAACATGCGTTTTAGAAGATCAGCTTTCTCTTTTCCTTTTCTTTCCCAACCACAAGGCTCATCGTCAACTCACACATGACTTCGATGAAGTCAAACCAACAAGCAGAGATAGAAAACTTTCCAGCCAAATAACCCAAACACCCTCTTCTTGTGGAGTACTCTGACTTGGTGAACAATACATCCAATATGCATTAGCCGAGTTCTCATCCTGTTTAGCAAGTTGAATGTCACACAATCCACTTCCTCTTATGTCCTGGTCCAACAATCATTGTGGAGTTATATGGGGACTAGTTGCTACTCCTAGAGTTTGTGTGACACCCCTTATGTCCACCGTGTGACAGTTAACTCTTGTGTTGAGTGTACTATTAGAAATCTTGGGAGTAAGCCATTTTTTCTTCTTGTCCCTTTTCTCGTCGCTCAAAACTTTTTACTACAGAGGATTTTCTGATCCCAACAATCATCAATTCTATCATCTCTAAAGTGTTCACCTCGGAACACAGAAAAGTCATAATTTCTACAGAACTACAAAATACAACCACTCACAGTCGAATAGGATGCTGCATTTCCACTCAGAGAAACGTGTTAAGCTTTTTTGATGAGAATGCCCAGTCTCCACATTAGATCAGATGCAGACAGTAAATGTACTGGGGAATTCGGGAACATAACCTCTGAGAATGTTAGCCGAAATTGTGTTCTTTCTTCCACCTGGGTCAAGCCAATTACGCACATTAACCAGGATTTCATGCTAGATCTACGAGGCAAGAACCAGCCAAATATTGCTAAGAATAGCACTTTGACAAAAAAGGATCAGCCAGCCATCACCTACATCGTCCCCATTAAGAAAAACGACGATAACAAGTTTCGTCGAATTGGTCCCCTAGGATCTGAATAGACCAATTCAGTATTCAATAATGACAAAAGAAATTTGACAACATCTATGACCTTCTACACAGAATTTTACTGTCCACAGATTGAGATAGTGCAATTCCCATCCAAAACACCTCAATTCTCAACAGTCTTATTTAATCTTGTGAACAACTTCTTTCACAGCAGAAAAGACATCTACCTTCTATTGGAGATCCACATTATTACATAGGACAGACAATAAAGCCAAACAGAATAACCTTCTGTGCTTCACCAAGACTATTAACCTACCAATCTACCTAGCACTCTCTAAACGCATATCAGACCTTGTGGAACCAACAGACCTAAAAAAAAGGATAAATATTCGAGACTCTACAAGTAATAATCCTAAGATTACAAGTAACATTTCCCCATTCGCAAGCAATTACTTTGTTACTAGCCCATAAACCAAAACCACAATCAAGTCACTAAGCACTCCGTATTTTAGTGTATTTAGCCCTATCCAACACCATAAATTGTGTTTTTTGTCTGCAAGTATGGAATTACAGGCATTGAGACCTAGAATCAGAAAAACTTTAGAGAAGCAATAACATCAAAGAGAGTGATAAAGGTTCCCGACAACTGATTATGAGCCTCTAACAAGTGTATATAACGATATCGAACCAACTGTAATCAACTGTCTAAAAAGAACTACAAATGAGTATCTGGTAGACTGTTGTGGTAAAACGATCTTCACTTGCGACCCCGTTGGGAATGAGGCCGCCAGCTTGAGGTTGGTGGGGCAAGAGAGTGTTGGCTAGTGACCGATCACAACCCAATGGGAGATTAGAACTCTAGGTACCAGAAAGAAAAGGAACACATGGGAAGCAGTCACAGACCCAGATTCTGGGAACTTAAGCCAGATGGTATTATAACCTTAAGAAATAAAGCAGAATACATCAGCTAAACCTGAAGGATGATAAAAGAAATGCACGTATTTATTTCTATATTTTATCTGTTTAAGTATCTGCACAGTCCCAGTAAGCTGCCATTGGAAAACTGCCCGAAACACAGATATTAACAAAAAGCTCATCAACTTACATGGTCTGCAGATGACGCAATTTAGATATCCCACTTGGTAGAAATCCTCTTAAACCTTGGTTGTCAAGACCACTGCACATAGGGAAAAACCAAAAAACAAATTAGGTTCTGCTACAAATAAAACATAGTGAATCAAGGCAATGAGAGCCGCGACAGCTTCCAAATTAAATCAACCAGAAATGAAAATTCAAAAGAATAATTTCTAGATGTGGTCATATAAATACACCTTCATTTGGCCCTGTCAGTGAAATTTAAATGATGCTAGGTCCTATTCACAAGTATCAACAGTTTTTTATCATTTACATCGACAGAAAGGAAGGACAGATGACGAGCCATATCACTTTCCACAAGTTCTAGTCAAAAGTTCTCATTAAATGGTAATGCACAGTATGGTTGATTTCCTCTCCAGATCCAATTTTCATCTGTGGCATTATCAACTGAGAATTTCATTTCATTTCTACAAGATAAAAGAAGGTAACCACTCAGCACATGCCAATGAATCTAGAACTTTAGATCAGGAAGACTCTTTTTCACTACAGGAGATTCACATGTTGTTCCAACTAACCAAAACCCCACCACCCATCTCTACAACAAAATCCATAGTCATAAGATTTTATTCATATCACTTCAAAAATTAATCTTTGCTCGTTACATCATCTCAATGTTTCCATCTGTTGTATAAAAGCTTGAATACTCTGGGTCAGTTCTACAACAAAAAAGGTTGATATAGCCAGAGATAGTTGAATCATTGACAACATTCTAATGCAGCCAACTTTCTTTCTTTTCCATCATTCGATTTCTCGGTCTACAATTGCAGCTCCATCTCTTCAATGAGTTTCAAAAATGCGATTGACGAGATCTCCATTTCATAAAATATTTAACCAATCACAGTTTCCATGATTTTGATCAATTATTCTTTTCTGATTTTGTAACCCATCACCATCATAAATGTTAATGAACTCAGCAAAGAAAAATGGTCGATACTGCTAAATGGCACAAGTTACCATCACAGTTGTCATGAGCACTGATACATACTCAGTCATTCGAAAAAGCCAAAAATAAAGGCACCTACGACCATCTAAAGGTAGCCAAAAATTCATTACTTGCTAACCATAATAAACTTGACAAGTTCTTGCTGGTCTTCATTTACTAACACCTATCACTGTTCACTGGAAGGTACTCATTAGTCAGTGAAGGGGAGAGCACTAGTATTCTTCCGGTGGCCAACACAAAAATGAAAATTAAGGACATCGAAACCTGAAAATATAAACTCTTTCTCAAGAATTTAAACATTTTTCAGACCAGCAAAGCTACAATGATGCAAATTAGTGCATAGATGTTCATATGTCGATTTTCACTTGATATCTTCTGTGGAAAAACTTTTACCCTAAAAGGCATGCCCTTTGTTATTAAATCATTATTTTACAAGGTCAACATAAACAAAATAAAAGGCAACCGGGACAGACAGTTCTGGATTTTAATGTGGCATCAGTATTTATCACCTTTCCCTTTAGCAAGCATGTAACATCACCTAAATCATATCATTCTTGAAGAGTGTTTTATATTCACTGTAAAAGCCCAATTCATGTGCTGAAGAGGGAGACTATAATTTTGGAGAGCTACAAAAGGGAAATAATTATAGGTTTTCATAATTGGAGAAAGCAGATGACTCAAAGAAATAAAACGAAGCAACAAGCTTGCATGCTTGATTTTGTAAGTTTTAAGTAATTACAGTCCATCTATAACCCATTTGGCACTTCTTCTGTCAAATTGGCAGTCTACCCCACTCCATGGATGCTGCTGCGGAACGCATGGATCTCCATTCCATCCAAAGCGAAGTGGAAGCCCCAAAGCATTCTTTAGAATTTCCAAAGCTCCGACTGTCACACAATTCAAAATATGAGTAACCAATATCCAAAAAATGAATGACAACACTTTTTTTGATGGATTGAAGAGATTAAGAGTTCAATTGAATTTGAATCTCCTTTATTTTCAAGTCCCAAGTGTTCATAATTGAACAGAGAAAAGAAAGCGGATTCACAGAGGAAGGGGTAGATCCTCATTCAAAACCACTGAAATACCATGAATTAAGAAAAGCAAGATGGTTATTTTTTTCTGAGAATCATAACCAGTTGGGCTATAGTTTTCAAGGTATCATCTAGACCCTTGGCACAAGGACCCAGATCTTCGAGAATTCAAGTGGACACGCCCAATAGACTTGTTCATTGAACCAATCATCTTCTGTTATGCCTCGTTCAGTGAATTGAGTACACACCATTAGGTACACACATTCATATTCACTGAACTTTGTGCAGAGAACAAGCAAGATGATTAACCAATGCAGGCTCCCCAAAATTCCCATTTACTGAAGATGGTAATCATTAAGAATAGTATAGTATTAGTTATTAAAGATAAAAACATAATTATAAAGGCAGACCTACTCCACCTGTTGCCATTTTTTTTTGAGTTGAATGACTCAACAATTCTAACAGTAATACATAACATATCATGACCAAAATGACTAAAAATATGCACACCTTCTTCGGTTAGTGTTTTAAACTCTGCAGGAATAACTTCAAAGACCTCAATTGCATTGATGATGGCAAGGCTTCCTTTTGCAGGATGAAAAGCAATGGTCAGAGTCCTGCCCCTCACTGCAACAGTTTTATTGAGCACTAGAACAGTGTTGGGTTTCCCAGTCATGCGGACAATGTCTACATTCTTAAAGGCGATATCATCATTTATAAGTATGTCAAAAACCCTCTGGCCTTGACGGGTAACCACGGGATCAATCTCAGCAAAATGAAGCCACAGTGAATAATTTTTGTTGGGATCCACCTCCATTTGAAATGACATTTGAGAATGACTGTCGCTGCTGACAATCGCTGATTGGTAGAGTTTCTCAGGATAAAAATTGGGTGCGATTGATGCTCCAGAAATTTTGTTTTCTGTGGATATAGATTGGTCAGACTTTTCGTCAAAACCTTTGATGGCAGTCCAGAACCTGTCCCCACCCCAATGGTTGCCATTGTAGTCTTCATCAAACGCTACCTTTCGAGAACCACATGACAACCTTCTAACAGTCCTGAGAACCATTTCCTTTCCCCATGATTGACCGAGGTAGTACGCACTCTCATCAACTTGAAGAATTTCGATGGAAAGTATTGAAGGGTCCCCATGACCAGTGCTGTGGAAACAACAGGAGACTAAGCTGTCTGTGGCAAATATCAGGGCTTCAACAAATGACTCCTCAGCTATCGTGCTCCAACCAGACCTCAAGGAATAAATTTGAGTTCCTTCAATGGAAACATCAAAGAGAGGCTCGTTCTGGGCATTGGGTTCAGCGGCCAATGCAAAGAAGAATCTCACCGAATAGTGCCCCAGTGGAATGTTGCTGATGTGATAGCAGTTCTCGGGGCCATCAGAAAGAGGAAAATATCTAAGTGTTTTCAGCGGAGGAGCATTAGGACTGGGATGGGACACATTTCCCACTCTTCCACCGGTGTAGGCAAAATCCTTGTGCCATAAGGTATTAGCTGGCAGAGTGCGAATATCATCACGAGCCCCACAGCTCACCCGAAGAGCAAATGGCTCTGCACAGAAGGTAACTAAGCTTATTAGAAATACTATTTAATCAGGTGGGTGACTAGAAGTGTGTTACAATCAAACAAGTAGAACCAAAGGCACAAAATAAAAATAATAATTGCTTCCAATAAAATAAATCGGAATGAAATAAGTGCCAATAAAAGATGAACATTAATGAAAATTGCATCCAAGTAAAACCTTGAGAATATTCATATTCAGAATCTTTCATCATTTCCACTTATGCAGATTTTGTTTCATTAAACTACAAGAATATGTAAGATTTCCAAATTCAACATCTGATAAAAGGGAAGAAACGGGTTAATTTATCACTTAAGATAAAAAATTCAAATTAGCTATTCCGGAAATGATAAGAAATCATTGTTGTCAGAGAAGAGTTGCATCAAGAAAAGCTAGGTGAACCGGATGCTCTCAGAAGCACAAAAACCTTCCATTGGTCCAAACAGATGAAACCCATTGACTGAAGTCAAAAGCAGCTAGTTCAGTAGAGGACTTAGATATCATAAATCAGAGAAGCTCATCCAAGATATATAGAACAACAAAGTTGTAGCCATCCTACGTTCGAAATGGTATTTGGCTTACACGGGATAATAAGGCTTTTAGTGGAAGGGAATGCAGCTAGTGAAATAGTATGTGGCCCTTGACGATTATTCCCCAGCTACAATTTTTTAGAACGATTTTTTGTTTCTTAAAATTGGGGCAGTGGGTGACATCGTCTCCAAAAAATAATCACAGACAGAAAATAAGAGAAAAATTCATGGTACCCATGCAATCCCATAATTACGCTTGAAATCGACAGATACCAGCCCAGACAACTGTTCTCGTTCACCAACAGTTCTAGCCTACTTAAAGAAAAAGCACCAAAGTATCGCCGTCCACATGAAAAAAGAAGGTGAGTGTGCCTGCTGAAGAGACCCAGAGAGAGGAACAACGAATCGTCCGAAGACTAGGAACAAATGAAGCAATTTCGCCGTAGGGAACAATCAAAATCAATAGACGACTGAAACAGGGTAACGAAGTGGAGACAAGTCCGCACCCCTGGCAGCTCCGCAGAACCTGGTGGTCGTCGTTGAAGCCGCGAGGAACAGCAACAGCGCCAACGGAGGCCGGACAAGGAGAAGGTGAAGATGCGGCATCATCCCCCCTCTATCCCTCCTCCTCCTTGCCCACGGCGAATCCTAGTGCCCTCGCCGCAGGACCCCAATCCCCAAAAGAACCATCACCCTTTTCTGCATTGCTCCCCAATCTGCCCAATATGAACTCTTAGTCCACCTTCCACCACTCCCTCCGCCCCGTCCCCCTCTCTCTCTCTCTCTCTCTCGCTATCAATCTCTATCTCTCTTCCCCCCACCCTCCCTTCTCTCTGATTAGCCATGGCTCAGTAGGTGATAAATCAAAACCGAGTTTAAAGACGTCAATTCCATGGCGTTAATGCTTCCCCTCCGCATCTGCCATGGAGCCATTGAATCCCACGGAGACGACGACGACGACAAGGAGACGAGCGGCAGACCAGACCATACTGAAGACAGGAGGAAGACTCTGGTTATGGGGTGGAAGGGCAGCTACGTTTCCGTTTAGCCCCATTAATATTTGTTCCTACGTCATTGAACCTCACTCTTTTTATATTTCCTTTCGTCTCCATATTTTCCGTACGAAATTACTTCTTTCTCGAGAGTAGAACTCGAGATTGAGTGGCATATTTAAAAGATTTAAGTCTGGCGACCAGAAAATGGAGCCCCCACCGCCGTCGTGCCGCTGTCACCGCCTTGTGCGGCGGCGTGGCCGGCGGCGCCACCTTGAATCGCACGTGCGGGCATGTGCCCATCTGCGCAACGGTTTCCCACTTATTTTCGCCACGTGGCATCATTTGACACATCAAGTCAACGGCCCGTCAAACACGACATCCAAGAGGAAATAATAATTAGTTAAGAAAGATCCGGTAGAGTGAATATTTTCATTTCCCTATAAACCCTTATATATTATCTTCCTATCCATATCGCGTGGACCCAGCCAACGACATTTTTCACATTTGGGGCACCTTTCGACATTTTATTAAACTTTGAGGGGGAAAACATAATTTCGGCTGACAAGAGTAGTGGATCCTCTGAATTGACGGATATAACCCTTGTTCTCCTTCTAAAAAATGGGGCTAGTTTAGTATTTTCCTACATTTCACCGACGATCTTATCCTTAACCAGGAGAATTTCTCAACCCGAGGCACTCTTTTGAGAAGACTCCAGATGATCTCCCACCATGGCGACGGCCGACGACGGCGACGGCGAGGAGGCGGTGACCGGATTCCCCTACCTCCGCCGCCGTAGAGACGGCAGCGTAAGGCGCCTCAAGGGGACGGATACCGTCCCTCCCTCCATCGACTCCGCCACCGGCGTCGCCTCCAAGGACGTCCCCATCGTCTCCGCCACCGGCGTCTCCGCCCGCCTCTACCTCCCTCCGCCGCCGCCGGCCTCCTCTGCCGCCGGCGAGAAGCTCCCCATCGTCGTCTACTTCCACGGCGGCGGCTTCTGCATCGAGTCCGCCGCTTCTCCCACGTACCACCACTACCTCAACTCCCTGGCCGCCGCTGCCCGCGTCCTCTGCGTCTCCGTCGAGTATCGCCGCGCACCGGAGCACCCGCTCCCCGCCGCCTACGACGACTCCTGGGCGGCCCTCTCCTGGGTCGCCGCTCACGCCGGCGGCGCCGCAGCCGCCTCCCCGCCGGAGCCGTGGCTCTCCGAGTACGGGGACTTCACCCGGGTCTTCCTCGCCGGCGACAGCTGCGGGGGGAACATCGCCCACAACATGGCCATGCGCGCCGCCGTGGAGACCCTCAGCTCCGGCTTGAAGATCGAGGGGCTGGTGGCGGTACACCCGTTATTCTGGTTCTCACCGGCGGCCAGCGAGACCTCGGCCAGCGGAGATTCCTTTGAGGCCACCTTCGAGGCGTCATGGAGCTTCCTCTACCCGTCGGCGGCGAGGGGGCTGGAGGAGCCTTGCCTGAACCCGGGGGCGGCGGGGGCGCCGTGCCTGGCGGCGCTGGCCTGCCGGCGGGTGCTGGTTTGCCTGGCGGAGAAGGACCTGTTACGAGATTTAGGGCGCCGCTACTACGAGGCGCTGGAGAGGAGCGGATTCAGAGGGATATTGGAGAAGCTCGAGTCGGAGGGGGAGGGGCACATCTTCCACCTCCTCAAGCCCGACTGCGACACGGCCAACGAGATGATGGAACGAGTCGCCGCTTTCCTCGGTGAAAAGTCAAGCTCACTGTAGAATCCATTCCAATTCACCGTGGTTAATAACTCCCCACGTCCGTTGACCTTTCTAAATATCCGTGGACCGGGAATTATTTGGAGGATTTTAAATGCAATTGTCTTTGTCATCAATAATATAAATTCGGGCCATAAGTGTTCAAATTAATTGGGAGAAAAGACGAAGTACCATTCACTACTAAAAGGATGATTACGTGTATGTTTCTCAGCCTTGGGAGAGCCGATTAAAAATCTTAAAAGTGGTAAAGCTCAAGAATGTCTAATTTATTTAAGAACTATTGTTGGTAATGTTCATTTTCATTCAGCTAGCTTCGACTGATTTCAAATCAAAAGTGTATATGTAACTTGGATGAACAGCCCCCTCTTCACATCGCCCAAAATTAACCAAAATTAACCATAAGTCATTTTAGCTCATTAAATTTAGCAGATTTTGATATGCATTTGGTGGCTTGAATCATTTTCGGTTTGCCAAAGATGTCAAAATAAATTTAATATGATGAAAAGCCTTGTAATTTATGTAAAAATATACTCTAATTAGATGATGACAGTGAAGCTAATATTTGAAATAGTTGACCTTGTCTTCTAAAGCATAATATCATCCCAACAATGAGCATTCTATCTAGCATTGACTTTTCATAAGCACCTCCTCCATGAATGTATGTCTTGTAAGATTTGGTCCCTATGTAGACTAAGAGGGGGAAGGGTTGATTAACTCTTTGAAAAAATGTCCTACTTTGAGACATTTCTTCTTATCTTGTGCTAGGTGAGACAACACAAAAGTCAATACATGTTAGGTTGATTGGGTCAAGTATGGTAGTCCTGAAATAGACTAGATCGAGTACTAGAAAGGAGGGTGGATTAATTATCTAACTAATTTTCGCATGTTTATATTTTTAAAATATGTTTTCATAGTTATCTACTAAGTAAGCCTACAAAGACTTAAGTTCAAATACACAAGTTGGGACCAACATTGTTTGGGTTGGGTTGGTACATATCAGCTAGGGTCAACTCATTTAGTCAAAATAGGTTAGGTTGACTTAACTAGGTCAACACCTTGGGTCAATCAACACTTTGGGTCAACATACTAAGTATTAGAATGCAAAAAATACTAAGTTTATCATGTGTTCAGCCTACCTTACATTAAAATCACCTTCCAAGGTTTTCTACCCATTGTTTTCACTATTCTCCCTTGAAGAATTATAATTAAAATCAGCATAATCAATAAATCTCTTACACAATATATTTTACAAGTCTATCACCTTGCACTAGGTATGGATGTATTAGCTTACCTTTTCTACCTTTGTTACAAGCACTCAATGACTTGTAAACTGATTTTTTGTGCTGAGAAGATGAGGTTTGTTAATTTTTAGGATGTTTAAATGCTTAAAAAAACTTGTGGTGGGGTTACTCTTCCAATAAAACTTTGATTAGTAATTTCAAAATGAGTAGAAGTATTCAATATAACATCGATGCATTGTCTAAAAACTTATTTTAGTGGTATATAATATAACTTAATCATTGAATAATAAATCACTTCAATTTAAAATTTATAAAACTAGAAAATATTAATTTAAATTTTTTAGAAGTATTAGATTACGAGTATATCAATTATAATTTGATAAAAAGGCTCCAAAAACAATGAAAAACTTTGAAATAGAGGATGTAAAATAATATGAGGTAAAATTTTCAAAATTTTCTCAATGTAGATAATTATTTTATGATTTTTAGACTAAATGATGAAGAGAAATCTATTTAAAAATTTATGAAAAAAAAACAGATGCTAATGTCAAGATGATGTCAATGCTTTGACGAACATGACTCGGACAAAAACTAACTTTAACTTGATGATTCTTACATAAATAATTATAAGATTTAATTGATCAAATTAAGATTTGTAAAAGTTAAAACAATTATAATTGACTAAAAAAGAATTTTGAAACTTGAAATCACATAAAATCATACTAATTTAAAGAATAATTAAGTTTAAAATATGAAAGATAATATTTTGGCACAATGACGGCAATCGTCAAAATTTTGATTGTTTGAAAGGATTTTCATGCAATGTCCATGGCCCCAAAAGCTCTCTTAGACATGCACAATGTGGGTGATCTCCACAAACTATCGTTGTAATTAAAGTCTAGGTAGATCAAGTTTAAAATTTATAAGTGAAAAATTTACATAAACTATTGGATGAAATATTGGTAATATCTGGGTCGATCATGAGGATAGTTAGAAATTTTGTGTTATGGTAGCCATCACCTACCACAAGCTTGAGCAGGTTGTACGTCGCACGATGGTGCTCACTAAGATGTGCTGGAATCCACAAATGATTGCTCTCCAACTATACTTTAAGAAGGTGAGAATTTCACTATATTTTGTGAGATGAAAAAGGTAGAAAATAGATTCCAAATATTTTTATCTAGAGCGAAGAGAAAAGGAGACAGTAGACTTTTTTTAGGGGTTTGAAAACCTTCTAAAGGAAACCTCAAACAAGAATATTCCTCTCAAGAAAGGATCTAAAAGGTTCTACAAGTTTGTTGGTGTCTCCTTTGTAGCAAATGAATTGTCCTAAATTTAGTGATGGAAAAGAGTATATATAGATGGTTGTTCTGAAGGTTTCCCTTCTCCCATCTATCAGCCTCCTCTTGCAAAGCCTCATGAACAGTTGAGATGAGTTACAATTTCTAAAAATCAGGTTAGCCATCCTTCCCTCCTTCGGCTATTTTGATTTGGTACACCATGTTCTCCTTCTCCATTTCCTGCAATTGATTTTCATTGAGTAGAAAGATGCTCAAAAGGGACCCACATGACATATTTTGAAAGGTTTTTCATCACTTAATCTCACGTGAGATAAAGTGACGCCTTTCGAAATATCAAACGTCCCTCTCATTAATACAACTTAGACATAAGTCCATAAGAAATAAGACCCTTCTCTTTCATCCTTCTAAAATTCTGAAATATCATCTAAATAAATTTCAAAAGATATTCAAATCTTGTTCACTACTTTATATATGTTTAAACCAATTTTCAACCATTAGTCCATATAAAAATATATTTCTATGCATAAACACATTTTCAAATGTATAATGGGTTAAGTTTGTAAATCACATTTTCAAGTATAAATCATGCCTCTTACATAGAAGTTAATCAAATAATAATAATGGTGTCTTACATTGAATTCAAGGCATTATGTTTGCTATAAATAATCAAACTATATGCATAAACTAAATTATATATTATAAATAGACTATTATCAGTAGGTAATCTCTAAATCTTCTTGTGAAGTTTAGAAATTAATGAAATAGATCGATGAAGCATCTCTAGCGGCTGTCACCTACTATAATAGAAGTTTGATAGTGTTTGAATCTCTAACAACTTTCACTTAACAAAGATGAGTTGAGAGCCTCTTAGAGAGGTTCATCTTCATATTCATGTAGTGAGAAGGGGCTCATATTACATTCAGTTTGCTCTAGAGAGGTGATAACTCATCTCTCGGCAGACCATCATATTCTCGACAACGGTGTGTTTGTCGATTAATTAGAAATGATTTCTTCAATAAATTTGTGATATTTTCATCTATAATCCTTCATCAGTTGGTAACCACACTCCACAAATCACGTTGATGACATTTTCATTGATGATCGAACGATTCCAACAACTTAATAATTGATCAATGCTTTGTAAAAAAATCACGATTTAAGCAAATAAAAACATGAATTTTAGTTGTGGTGGGATTTGAACCCTCATAAGTCATCTAACTGAGTGAGAGAAGGTTAAAAAATTACCCACATACCCTTGACCTAGTGACATAATGGGCACATTTTCTTCTTAGAATGAAAGGGTATTTTTGGTATTAAAATACTTAAACACACTAGTTAGCATCGGCATGGGTTTAGTCCCACATCGATTGTTTCCTTATGTTTGGGATGAATATATATTTATACCATGTCCTTAGTCAAGTGTCATCTCCTAAAATCATAATGGCTACGACCCCCTAGGAGAGGCCCCCATAAAATTAGGTGGTTTGCCCCCATATACACACCTATGTATGAACACTCTTTGCCCTATGCCTGGTCGGCCCCTAGTGATGTGGAAGGGGAGTAATGCACATGTGTTATGCATGGTTCCTTAGCCACTTGAGCCCCTAGCTCGTGGCCCCCCTAGCTAGCCAGTAGGTGCCTCCTTTTTTCCTATTTTTTTCTATTTATTTATTTTTCTTTGTTTTATCTAAAAAACATAAATATAAAAATTATATAAATTCACATAAAATCACATTAATCAGATAAATACCCATTTTCACTATTTAAAACAAATAAGTGTATATTTTTCATGACTTAATTCATAAAATAAATATTTTAACTATTATTAACTCATAATAATAAACACTTATTACGTTGCTATACAGCCCAAAATTTCAACAATTGGAACTCAAATGTCATTGATTGGTCAAAGATTTTCTAGGTCAGTACAATTATGTAGACATGTCAAGGCAATACTTTTCAAGGTGCGCCACCTTTTTTCGATATTGTGTCATGTGTTATAAATTTTCTTTCATGTCATACATTTCTGATTCCTTAGAGAATCTTTGCTTTCTTCTTTCTTTAAATTTTGTATTTTTTTACTAGGTTGATGCATAGTTCGACAAACTAGCTCTCTCTTTATACTTAGATGAGTCATCACAACATTTTCTTGGTCAACAAACAATCTATCTTTAAGTCTGTCAACATATGAGTTTAAGCATTTTTCTTTGTCCTTATATTTTCCTTTTAAAGGTTATCATATTTTCTTAATTCAATTTATCATCTTACATGTATTTTTTGATATCTCTTTTCTTTACATCATGTCTAAAAATATAGATTTTCACAGTAAAGAATGAGATCTTTATTCTCAAGTTAGTATATTAAAACATATTTTAGAGAATTTTTTTTGTACTTTTATGTTATTAATTCTCAACATCAAAATCCATAAACCTAACATAGTTGACACACTAAATAAAAATTAAAGATAAGTACATTATTTATACTCATTCAACCTACCTTGACTTACATAAACGTACCAATTGTTCATTCTCTAGGTTTTCATTATTCTCTCTCATAGAATAACACAAAAATTATGGAGGTAATAAATCCTCTTAACAGAACAAACATGTCTATCTCTCCATTAGGCACTAAGATACTTACTCACCTTTTTTTTCTTTTTTTACCAACACCCTAAGAGTGTATTTGTAGAGAAATAATGATGCAAGACTAAAAAAATCAATCTTAAGGCAAACGGATGAACTTTCATGATTTTATAAGGGTTTAAATATTTGAAGCTTTGGTATCACTGTACATGGATGTAGAATTTTGGCACAAACTAATCAAACTAAATGCATTGTTGAGGTGTATATTTTAAAAACAAATTATGATATACTTTTTATAGAGTTCAGAAACTTAGCTATTACAATACAAATGAATAAGCGTTGAATAGTTACATATCTTTTAGCTCAACCCTATGTTGAAGTGCATATCAATCTAGAAGGTCAGCTTAATGAACTACCAACTTTTGACTAAGTATACACATATCAACAAGCAATCATATAGGATATTTTGCAGTTGGTTAGAGGTATTCTAGCACAGTCGAGTCATTTTAGAATGTCTTACATGTTAGCTCTCTTAGAGAAAATCTTTATTTTCTCTTTCAAGTTTAATTTAATAGTTCCTATGCTAACTCATGGGCTTGAATTAATGTCTCTTCCTAAAATACTTTCCTTCTATATCACTTTCTTGATCATCTTTTTTATTGTTGGATTTAGTGTGGCTAAGTGAAATACTAAGAGGTGGGGTAAATTGGATCTCTTATGTTTTCCTGTTGTACTTTTGTATTTTGTCTGTATCTATATGTGTCAACACATACTTTATAACATTTTTTAAGATCTTTATGCATATTTACCTTAGTCATTTCTCCTTTATCATGGGAACACTATGATCTCTTTCTCTCTCACTCATGACTTTGAGAAATATAGAGAATTTTATACTAGTTCATTCTTCACTAAGTTACATCAAAACCTAGAGGATTTAACTATTACATTTCACTATTTTCATCTAGAAATACAACTGATTTCACAAGATAAGCCCCCAATCACCACTATTTGATCTTGACAAAGATCTCACCTTTCACGAGTAGATATTAACTCTCAACACTTTGTGCCTAAGTCATTATATAAAATTATCATCAAAGAACAACCCTCTCAATGGGCAATTTTCAACTTTCAACATCTCATGCCTTGGTCCTATTTTATCTCCACTCACCACCTAAATCACCTTAGGATTTGATGGAGAGAGACAACCTTCAATTCAGTTGGTTGATTCATATATCATTGCAGATGAGCGAGCAGGATGAAGCTTTGATTAACTCTTTGAGACACGTAATTGATTTGTTGTAGAGAATTGAATAAGATCTTCTTCTTGAACTTGAGTGAATGATGTTGATGAAAAAAATTTCATTGAACATTAATCTTGATTCACCTTTAGTTTGTTCTCTTTATACTCTAATGTATCTCTATCATTTCAGCATTTGAAAATAATTATATGAGTTTGAAAATCTTCTCATTGTTCCACCAGTGTACCGATGACCTATAGTTGCTTAACAGTACAAATTTTTTATTATTGAGTTTGTTATTCATGATATTTCATTTGGAGATTTGTAACTGATTAACAAATGATTTCTCTTTTAGAGTCTTACCTAGTGGTGGTCATTTAACTTATCTTTAGTCCACATATTTTACTAACGAGTTACCATTGAGAATTCACAATTTTGACTTTCGGTCATGCTTCAATTCCAATCTTTCTGTTATCATATAGATTGTATTTGATAATGTGTTTGAAGATTTTCAACTAATCAACAAACATCTTTGTCTATAATGTCAAGCTGAAATATAATCATCGAGCTCATCATTTTCTCCACATATTCAAGTGACGTGTTACTGTCTAGGGCACATGAGACCGACCTTTGGTTATTTCTTACTTCAAAACATGTGTACATCCCATAAATGATCTTCAAAGCTTCTTTCTAGAGATTTGTGATACTTCAATGGTTACTTTTATTTTTGAGATTGAGTTGAAATTGGTTGTTTTCTCCACATAAGATTCTTATGTGTTGCTGTACAAGTTACATGGTAAAGACTCTATGTTTCTTCGATAGCTTCATCCAAATGGTTCAACTCAGCCGTCATGTAAGATCGGAGATTGAATCATGCTTCAGTCACTGATCGTGTGATTTTGCTCTAAGTATTTGATTAGCTTTCTACAGTGTCATCATAGTGATCTCAATTTCAAATTTCACCCATGTTTTGATCCGTATGATGTTCAAATATTTTGGCCATCATTTTTTCTACCTTTGCATAGCTTGTTTCTTGAGTATTTTCAACAGTGTATTTTCTTTGATATTTCAAATGCTCTCCATTCTAAAGCTTTTATTTTCATAATGCTCAAGTGCCACATTCAAATTCCACAGATAATTTTATTTTTAGGAATATACGTGAAACTTTGTCACACATGTTATTCTGCACTTATATTATGATAATATTATATTTTATTATTTCAACATAAAAAAATATCTAAAAAATGTAACTCATTGAATTCATTGTTAGCCATAGAATTGTACCAATCATCATCAATATATATATATATATATAATGTTTTTCAAATATGTTCCATATATGATATAAATCATGATATATAAACAATTCAATTGATATTCAATAAATCATTAGAAAATAATTCATAAATAAAACTTTCAATATAAGTGTCGAAATTAAGGATATCTACACATCATAGCAGACTACAAGATATTAATATATTGGTTAATGTGATTAGGTAGGAAAGATTAACAATTTTAATTTATGAAAATGTAAAATAGAAGAAACGTGCATAAATAGAGTGATTAAATAATTTGAAGAATAAGTTTTATATTTACTATTCTGTCACAATAATGTAAGATTTATAACTTTTCTATCATGAACTACGATTCTCATGGCAACTCATTCCTTGTGCTTACGCTAATCTCAAAAAGACCACATGGTACACACTCTTAGATCTAACTGTGCATAGTTGTGGACACTATCATGATCTTCTAGTACTAACAAACATGAGCCATTAAATAATTGTTGATACCATCGTACCAAATGATATTTACTCTAACTAGCACATAAATATCTACCGAAGTTATTGGCCATCCGCCAGTTTTCCTCTCTCCGGTCTGCCATATGGTGTATCTAGACATTACTAACTCCTCTATGCTATAAACCCTGTGCTATAAACAAGCGACGACGCTATCAAACATGACATCAAGACACTCACAATTTAACCACGAACATAACATAGTGCAAGGATGAAATGAAGGGCTTTACCGGGTAACAAAAGACTTTTGCTCGAAAATACTAAGCCCATAGATCTGCATCTAGAGGAGGATGATCCACTATTACAGAGTAGGAGTCCATAACCTCTTTTTTTTATAGAATAGACCAAGTCACAAATAAGCACCAGCAGAAGATGAGGGAATGGGAGGTCACTAATCAATGCACACCGGGTGGGTCGGTGCATGTGGGGGAGGTGAGCCTCCGCCAGCATCATCGATTCGACGTTATAACAAGGGCACCGGCAAGGCGTATGGCGACGTAACAAGGGCACCCGCCTTGCCCTTTCTTCCGTCGGTTCTCCGGCCATGACGATGCATGGGGACGGCAGCGGCGGCGAGGTGGCCGAGAACTTCGCCCAGTTGTTCTACGTTTACCAAGACGGACGCGTAGAGCGGCTCATGGGGACCGCCGTCGTCCCTCCCTCCGTCGACTCCGCCACCGGCGTCGCCTCCAAGGACGTTCCCATCGTCTCCGCCACCGGCGTCTCCGCCCGCCTCTACCTCCCTCCGCCGCCGCTGGCCTCCTCCGCCGCCGGCGAGAAGCTCCCCATCGTCGTCTACTTCCACGGCGGTGCCTTCTTCGTCGAGTTCGCCGCTTCTCCCACGTACCACCAATACCTCAACTCCCTGGCCGCCGCTGCCCGCGTCCTCTGCGTCTCCGTCGAGTATCGCCGCGCACCGGAGCACCCGCTCCCCGCCGCCTACGACGACTCCTGGGCGGCCCTCTCCTGGGTCGCCGCTCACGCCGGCGGCGCCGCAGCCGCCTCCCCGCCGGAGCCGTGGCTCTCCGAGTACGGGGACTTCACCCGGGTCTTCCTCGCCGGCGACAGCTGCGGGGGGAACATCGCCCACAACATGGCCATGCGCGCCGCCGTGGAAACCCTCAGCTCCGGCTTGAAGATCGAGGGGCTGGTGGCGGTGCACCCCTACTTCTGGTTCCGCCCGGCGTCCCGCCCGAGCATCGCCGGCCCAGCGGAGGCGCTGACAGCGTGGATCGAGAGACTTTGGCGGCTCTCCTACCCGTCGGCAGCGAGGGGGCTGGAGGAGCCTTGCATGAACCCTGCGGTGCCGGGGGCTCCGAGCATGGCGACACTGGCCTGCCGGCGGGTGCTGGTCTGCCTGGCCGAGGAAGACTTCCTGGTGGAGCAGGGCGCCTGCTACTTGGAGGCGTTGCAGAAGAGCAGATTCCCAGGGCCGGTGGAGCTCTTCCACTCCTCCGGCGAGGAGCACATTTTCCACCTCACCAAGCCCGGAACTGCCGCCGCTGGGGAGATGATGGACCGCCTCGTGGGTTTCCTCCATGGAATGTCGAGCTCTCCTTGACTGTTCTATCTGTATCCTCCGTCGTCTTCCTCCTCTCCTCCTCTCTGCGACCACTGCTGCTGCTTCCCCCTTCGCCGGAGCTCTCGCCGGCGGCGTCGATCGCCGGCGATCTCGCCCATGTGACCGCCGACTTTTGCGGAAGGTGGACCACACGATGATCTGGGCATCCTCGCCGGCGACCGGACCACTTAGATCTGATCCTATAGAGTAATTACCATTCTGTATATGCTTCTTTTTTTCCTTGTAATTTGCCCACATCCACCGATTTTAGTGCAGAATCGACTCAGAATCAAGCGGGGGTCAACTCCGTTTGTTGATGTGGGACCCAAATGGTCATTTTTTATTATAAAAAAGCTCCACTTTCTTGTTCACCAATAGAACCAGCAATGGCTGTTCTAAAGATGGGGCCAGCTAAGACACTGACGAATCTTTTTCTGGGACAGAAAATTATCTTGACTCAGAGGCAAAAAATCAATGAAGAAGAAGATTGTGATTTGACCAAACCTCTTCATGTTCTTACATGCTCATTATTTCACCTTGAATAAGATATTATCTGAAAGCCCCAAAAGATTACCTTCGCTCTATCTACAATTCCCAAGTGAGAATCTTATGCTTAAGAAAACCCAATTTTTTTATTTTTTGTTTTCCCAAATTAGAATTTCTACAACTCATCATAGGCCCATTCAACTAGAACAAAAAGGGTAAGGAGGCACTGTGTAGAAACATATTAATTTCTTTAAAAAACCATCTTGGATGATTTATTTCTTCACCATAATATCTCATTTTGGGTATAAATAATCCGCCATAAGCTCGATATGACGCCACTTGCTTGGAGGAATGAAGTTATGGACACAAGGCCTCATGCCAGACAAAGAGGTCCTAGTGCTCAGAAGATTGTCGCACTAGACAAGGGTTGGTGCTTGTTACATTGGCACTTGGGAGACCATAGCCACATGGTATAGATCACGCCTGAATTCAACACGTTGAAAAAAAGTCAACATAGTCTTTGCTTTGTCACATTATTATTATTTTCTACAATAAAAAAAACTAATAGAAAATCCTCTCAATTTCTGGTTATAATAAATAAATATAGAAAAAAAAATATATTCCTTAATTTATTTTTTTAAACCCAAATTGGGGCGTGGGTAGACTTGGCCAGAGATTATAAGAGTAATTTGAATTTTCTCTAGTGGAATTGAATAGATTCTTGCTCGTTGTCTCAGTTTTAGCCTAATATATGCATCAGTCGGGCGTATGGGAGTAATATAGATGTTAAAATTGGGTTTTTATATAAAATACCTGAATTTTCTTTGCCCGTGGACCGGGCGAGGCCCCATCCTCGTCAGCTGCGTCTACCTTCCGCTCCTCCAAAGCAAAAAAACCGACCCCCCACTCGTTGCGTCTTCCTCAGCCCGTCGTCGCCGCCACCACCCCGCCGCTGCCCGCTCCGGCGAGGACCCCTCTCTCAGACCCTCTTTACCCCTTCGCTTCCTCTTCCTCTTCCTCTTCCTCTTCGTCTTCTGGGGTCAACGGCCCTTCGTTGCTCTGCTTCTCTCTCTCTCTTTCTATCTCCCTCTTTCTCATGCTCTCTGGTTAGAAGCGGGGAAATGCAGCAGCCGTTTACCCGCCGGCCAGTCTGAGGGGGAGGCTTCGAGGGCGGACGCGCTGCGGAGGGAAGAAGCCTCCGAGAGGATCTGGGTCGCCGGAGAAGGTGAGAGAAGGGAGAGTTTGCATCTTCTCTGTTCTTTTTTGCGGTGTGGGAGCCTGAGAAAGGAATAGCTGGATTTGCTAGCACGGGGTGAGGTGGAAAGAGCAGCCGTCTTGCGGAGATGCCCACCCGGAAGCGCCCCCTTAACCATCCAGCGGACGATCACGAGGATCACTCGATGCCCGACGACGACGTTGGTGACAGCGGCGGAGGCGGCGGGGATGGCGACGACGGCGGTGGTTCTCTCCCTCCTGTGCCTTCTTCTTCTTCCGTGAAAGAGGAGGAGCTTCAGCTGGAACCTGAGGAAAAAGAGAAGCAGCTGCTGGAGAGCGCGAATGTCGAGCAACAGGAGCAGAACGGGGAAGAGGGAGGAGACGAGGAGGGGGTGGTGCCGTCCCAGGAAGTTAAGAAGAATGGTACGACGATATCAACCGTCTCTGCCTCTCTGTTTACATGTTTGCATGGAAAATCTCACAATTTTCTGCTACATCTCCGTCCTGTTGCGTCCGCTGCAGATTCCGAGGACGATGCCGAAAATGGAGATAGCTCCTCGTCGTCCGGCGATGCTGAGGACGACAAGACTGAGTAGTCTCTCTCTCTCTCTCTCTCGTTCTCCTCGCGTCTCCTTCTTATTGGTGGTCCTGTTCTACCTGTGCAACTGTGGCGATTCCCTCCCCGATTGAACTGCGGCGATCGTAATATACCATTGTCGAAATACCTTCTTCATGGCCGTTTTATATTCGCAGATTATTTTTTTTTAGCTGGTCGTCGTTTATACAAGGTTGAATATTTTGGCATGTTCATATAAACGTTGCCGGCATTTCTACAAACGTTCGAATTTCTTTGGTCATTCGCTGCTTTAATTTGTTTCTAGACTTCCATATTCAGCAAGTTCCCATTAATTAAAGGCTGCATTTAAAAAAAAAAACACAAGTGAGGACGAATTCGGCCTGTTTATTATTCCTTGTTCATGGTTTGAAGTCAGAACTCTGTCAACGACAGAAGAGGGAAATGTGGCTTGAATCAATGACTAAAAGGGTGGATGATTCAAGTGCGCTCGGAGCTCACTAGATTTGGGCCTCCGGTCCTGGTCAACCCCAGAACAGTGAGGTGAGATGAGATGAGCTGACCCTGGAACCTTCTGATCTAGTCTCCAAAGATGTGGAAGTATCTACAAATATTGGCCACGATAGCTCAGTAGGGGCATACATATGCTCATAGACTGGGTAAAATGATGTCTTTTATCCTTTTGCTTGGTAGAACCCAAGAGAAAGTAACACGTTTGACGGCATCACTGAGATGATGGCAGGATGCCTTATGTTTCCTTCTCTTGACATAAAAGGAGGGTTGACTTCCAATTTTTCTCAAATGTTCTGCACGAAATATAAGTACTTTGCAGAGCACCGGATGGTACAGTTGAGGCCAAGACAATGAGAGAATTAGAACTGCAGAAGATGGTTGAATGCGTGCCTTGCTAATTAAGAAGCGCTAGGAGTTATTGAACAAGGAGTGATAGGGTTTTGGGTGATGTGGTACTGATCACTGCAGAGAACAGTTGAAAGCATGTGAGATGGATAACGATATAAATCTGGCTGAAAGACTGTTAGTTGCAGACTGTTGATCTCAGTCATGAATATGAGTTCTTTTTCTGAAAACGATGAGAGGAGGTAATGCTTGGTGGGTCTTGCACATGATTTGGTTTTGAGTGCTATTTGTAATCTTAAAATTGGCCATCTCGCACCAGTTTTGAGGCCTACATCTTCCCTTGATGAGTTTCATTATTAAATTTGAAGGTTTACCATTTTGGTCAACTTATAATTATAACCTGAAAATTATCTGCATACATATCTCTGAAAGAAGAAATATGATAAACGAAAAATGTTTAAACTTATCTGCTGATTTATTTATTTATCATCCCTCTTGCTGCTGCTAATATACCAAAACTCGTGGTTAGTCCTTGACCTGTTCGATTTCTCTGTATTAACAGTTTCTGGATGATGGAATTCAATTCTGTTGCAAATTTGGCTCACATTCTCTTTTTTGTATATTCAACCGTCGGTAAATAAATAAATCTGACTTGTTTCGCTCATGCATTTATCTGAAAGTTAATGCATTGGGATATGTTTGTTCCATCGCAATTTTGATCACTGATCCTAATCAGACTCGTATAAACTGATATTGAGTTTCTGTTTCCATCTCTCGAATAATACAAGTCTATTGCTGCTACTTCTGAAATCCCTTTTATGCTCTCTCTCTCTCTCACACACACACACACACACTCAATCACTCATAATTCCCTTTTATGTTATTCCAAAATCCTATTTTTTCACGTTACTGATTGGCTAGATGATAGATCATAGGTGCTGTTAGGCTATTGTTTCTCTTTCCTATTTTACTCTCTCTCTCTCTCTCTCTCTCTCCTCTTCTCTTCCTCTAGGCATGCCACATGCCCCAGACTCAGCCAGATGAAATCCACCCTGCTGTCATGTCTTAATTTTAAGCCGTTTGATAACCTTGCATAAGCAGAACAAGTGCATCTGTTTGAACTGATTCTATTTCATATTCTTGATTGATTGTTCAGGTACGTCCTTGTTGAGCTGGCAGATATTCGCAGAGAAGTGCAATGCCCCATTTGCTTAGGTATGGATGGTTCAAGAAGCTTTTCCCATCACTCGGTACTGCAATTCGCCTGCCTAAGATAGCCTGCCACTCTGCAAAGCAGAGCCTCTTACTTGCTTGACATTTCATCACAAGTAGCCACCTGTCTTTGCACAGCCATGCAACCATACCTGAAACATCAATGGAGCTTTTATAATATGATAGTTTACATCCTTAATGGGATACCATACCACCAATAGGATGCCAATACTTACACCGTCATAGTTGTGCAGCTAACGATAGATGGATCTTGCCCTTTGACGATCTTTGCTTCACACCAGCTGGTGATGGGTGATACCATGAGCTGTGGAAATGAGGTGAACCAAAACACTGGGAACTGAATGGATGACCGGTTGACGGCACAGGGTGGGGTGATTGACGATGAGGGAGCAGACAGAGGATGTGCGCCTGTGACGATGTAAGGTGAAAATTGGTGAATGAAGTGGCTAGTTTGATGTGGATCTGGTCAACCATTCACAGGGGTTTGGAGCATGGTCTTCCCAGGGATGGCCTTCTACACCATATCTAGGGTTGTCCAACACTTCGAGCTGGGGTGCCTTCTCAGTCTTTGTGCTGCCTTAGCACGTGCCTTGACTACCATGGTCTTGAAGGATTGGGGAGATGATGAAACATGCATTTTTTAAGAATAAAGTGATCGAATATGCTCGACTAAGGTACATTAATGCTGACCGTCTGAGGCTAGAGATGCATCTTCATCGCTAGGAAAACTGGGGGGGGGGGGGATTTAAGAACACTGAAGATATTAGAGTTCCTATATAATACTTGCTAATATTCTTGTCTGGATGCGGAAAATACCACTTTCTGGTCTCATTTTGGAAAACTCGTTTACTTTTTATGTCAAACCTTTCCTGCTGAATGGCAGTGCAGTTCCAAAATGATAAGATAATCGTGGGTCTCATTTCATGATCAACAAAGTTTTCATTCCCTGGTTGAAACTCAAAATTAATCTGTAAACCATGGAGTTTCGAAGTAGGACGTGAGCATGCATGCTGTTCGTATAAGTTTAACAGACTAATTCAGGAATATATAAGGTTGCCATCATGGTGTATGACAACTCTGAGCATTTTTCTCAAACTAATTCTTTATAAAAAAAGGATGAGGAATTATATGAAAAATATAAATTGTCGCTCAAATAAAATCATGTGACATGTGTAGAACATCATTCATTTCGTTTGTTGATACCCAATTGCTTCTAGCATCAGATTGAAAATATCAATTAAATCTTAATTATATATTAGGCAAAATCCTTGCCCAAGGAGAGGTGATATAAGTGGCCACAGCATCACTGCTTTGTCAACAAGCACTATGATCCCCCCAAAAGTGATGGACAGCTTTCCAATTCCCTGCGGCATGTTGTCCAAAAACATCATTATCATTACTATGTTTAGTGACTAGTTGATACAACGAATCAGATCACGTCAACTGTGGGAATATCGCAGTCATGCTGGCGTTGAATTTTCTCTGTTTGACTGCATTTGAGATATATGAAGATCGTTCGTCCTTCTTTGATTAGAATTCACCTCTCTGATCGCTTCAGATTTGACTGCCACATTCTATAGTGACTTTAGTTGACAAAAGCTATATCAGCTTTGTAATATCTCTTGCTTTGACATGCTGAAGATAGAAATCTAGTTGTCTGGAGCTGTTAAGGTATGGAGTATTTGGGAACCTCACTTTGAGACGTTTTAGAAGCCAGGTGACTTCAGATCTTTGTCAGTGGTTCTTCACCGTTGACCACCATATGCCCAACTCTACATGGGTCCACAATGGAACAGCCCAGGTCTCCCACTGTTACACTTGCTAATCTAGAGCCATCTCCATTGGTTAGATTTTACCTAGCTAAGATCTACTTTTAGGGCTCAACTAGAGCTACTCAAGCCTGGTTGATTCCGAAGATAATACACTGGGGTGGTTGACCTTGTGGCTTTGTGCCTTCTACCATTACTTTTACTCTGGATAGTTTCTTGACCTCTACCCACATGATTTCTGATTCTACCCACTGACTTTTTGCTCATTAGTTCTGTTTGACTTTCGATCTACACTACTCTAGGTGTACCTTTCCACATCTCCCGATGTGGTTCTATTATTTCCTAATCCGATGCATCTACTTGTTGAAGAGGCCATCGTCGTATCTAAAGCTTGCTTGAGGTGCACTGTCCCGTAAAAAGAAAATCTATGCATACAAAATCTCATATCTATTTCACATCTATGGACACAAGTGCTACATGCTGCATGCCATGTCAAACCCCACATATTTCACGGCAGCGTGGGATAGCTAAATCAACTGCGCATTAGAGGGAAGAAATTTGGGCAAGGTAAGGCACAGAGAAGGGGGTTCCGAAGCTTGAAGGAAGGTAGAGTGGGGAGGCCAACTGAGAGAACCTGAGAGGACGAGGAAGTGTTTCTCCTCAGAAGAAAGGAAGAGTGGAGAAGGTGAAGCACAAGGGATCTATAGGATGGACTGAAGCCCAATGAAACTATTTAGCACGGTAATACCCAATTGGTAATATCCAATTGGCAGCCTGTAATGCCACTTTGGGTATTGATTATGAGGAGAACATTGTGTGTGGGGCTAATTGCTGCTCTATTTCTTGGAAAGTTAGGTACCTGAGAAGCTTCACTTAGTGTTGACTCATGTGCACGCTAAACCCCTGCGAGATCCAACTCTTTATGAACAGCTTTTTCAGGGGCAGTCTGCATCTATCTCGCAACTCGTCATTTTTCATGGATCTGGTGGATAAAGTCCGAATTTTCAATCCTCCTCCATTAATTCATCATATATATCTTTTTTTCTATCTTCATCATTTATTTTCGTATATAATGGCCGCCATCTCAAGCTATTGTTTCCGCTATTTCCTCTCTCTGAGTTGTTTGCCCTTCTTGCTGACGACTGAGCTTGGCTCTTCTCTACCAATTGGGTTCTCTCATCTCTTTCTTGGGTATACACAACTTTAGTCTTCCTCAATTTTATTTATTAATGCCTATATTTTTTTGTCTCCCCTCCAATTCCCTTTGGCCGATGAAGGTGTTTTGCTTTCTGTCCTCAGGGATCATCAGGAAGACGAGAACAGTGATGGACTGCCTGCATCGCTTCTGCAGAGAATGCATTGACCGGTCAATGAGACTTGGGTATGAATGTGGGATCTTCATCCTCACACTTAACCCCCAAGAACACATCTTTGAATCTGAAGTTCTCCTGCTATATTTCATTCCAGGAACAACGAGTGCCCCGCATGTCGTACCCACTGCGCGAGCCGGCGTTCGCTGAGAGACGATCCAAACTATGACGCCCTGATCGCAGCCCTGTACCCAGACATCGACAAGTATGAGGAGGAGGTGATAGAATCCTTCCTCTTTGCCGGCCTTTGACCTTGGGTTCTCGGCGTTGACTTCTTATTCATGCTGCAGGAGCTGGCCCTGCATGAGGAAGAGCTTCTACGGAATAAGAAGGTGCGGTGGTGTAAATAACTTGGCGGGTTTTTAGTTTGATCTCTTGTTGTGCTCACTATGTAGCTCTTTTTGCCATTTTTGGATGTAGATCCAAGCGTACATAACGGAGACATACCAGCGGCAATCGGAGGCGCTTGGGAGGCGGCGGTCTTCATCCAAGGCTGCTGAGGCCGGCTTCATGAGAAGATCACAGAGGAACTTCCGCAGTGGCCGCGGGCACAACGGCTACCCGAGGGGTGCGAGCAGGAGCTCCTGCCGCTTCACTGCTGCTGTCGCCAATTCTGACAATGAAGAGGAGGTGGCCGATGCAAGTGAGGAGGGGAAGTATGCCTCCTCAGCAAACGAACCCTCTCCAGATCCTGGGAGGCAGAAGAGGTGCCGAAGATGGGGCCCACCACGGTACTCTCACTCCCCCGCCCGGGCCCCACCAGGGCCCGACAGAATCTATGATGAACCCGACGAGGCTGAACTAGGCCAGGAGGCCCTGGGGGCTTCACCCGGGTTGGTGGGCAGCAGGGAGGTGCTTGTGTGGGGGAAGAATGGTGTTCGTAGCCAGACTCGGCATGGCGGCTCTGGCGGCTCCAGTGGAAAGAGTGCCAGGGGCGATCGCATATCCAAGCTCGTAGAGTACCTCCACAGCTTGGATGAACAGGATGATGAGGTAAGGATGATGAATGCTCAGACATTATTTGAAAAAAATAAAGTCAAATCTTCTTTGTCAACCATAAGTTGACTCGTGTTCTGGGCTTTTTTCCCCCAGTTTGATGTGCATCTGAAACTAGTCCCTGCGGAAGAACAGAGGATTCAGAGCGTAGAGCGGCCCTTCCTCTGCTGCCGGCCGACCTTGTCCATCAAGCAGCTTTCTAAGGTAATCAATGCCGCCGTGATTCTTTTTCAACCCTCTTCAGGGTGGGTTTCTGATAATCTGAGTTCACTTTTGCAGTTCATAGCCCTTGAGACGGCCGTGGAAGCAGAGGGCATCGAGATCTTAGTGGAGAAGAAGCCTCCTCCCAGTCCTGCGCAGGGCTGCAGGGAATTTCAGACAGTAGAAGCCCAGGAATCCCTTGGCCGCCTCCACCAAGACTGCTCCTCCTCTTCAGCTCCCTGCGACCTGGTAAGCTCTTCTTCTTCAGCCATTCCATCAATAAATACATAGATAAATTAATAAATGAATGAATAAATTAATAAGCCAAAGGTCGTTGACTTTGCTCTCCTCAGGTCTTGGCTTACAGGTCCAGGGTCCAGGGCGAGGAATCAGCCAGCTCCCCCACAGTGGAGGGCCGGCCTGCCGGGCACTATAATTTTCTGTGACTGTGCTTTTGTATAGAGAGTCTGCGACGACTTCATGCTGGTCAACGAATGTACCTCGTATTTTTTGGACCCTTTCCAGTTGTTTCCTTCGTCCCCGGCTTGAATGAATGAATGAATGCTCCGTACGACTGTGCCTGCTGCCGTGTAGTAAAAGTGGAACCTTTGATATGGTGAATGAGTACATGTTTGACGAATTGCTACAGAGAGAGAGAGAGAGAGAGAGAGAGATACCTATGGATTTTGGGGTGGGACCCACAGGATGAGTGCCCTCAGTCTTCGCGTTGTAGTGAAGGCGCAACCTTTGATATGATGAACAATGGGTCGAGTACGTGTTTGACGAATTGCCACAGAGAGAGAGAGAGAGAGAGATGATCTAGACGGAGACCTGTATTCCCTGTGGATTCTGGGTGGGACCCACAGGACAAGCGCCCTCAGTCTTCGCGATCTTCTCGCTCATCTCGTTGTAGAGCAACTCAGCCTCCTGCATGCGGCCTTCCTGCCTGAGGCCGTTCAGGAGCTCATCCACTGTACCTGCGCTGGGAGACAAGCCCTCCTCCACCATCTCTCTAACCAGGGCCTGGGCGCGGTCAAAGTCGTGCAACTTGCAGTACCCATTGACCAACGTCCCGTAAGTGAGCCCGCTGGGGGCCACCCCGTTGGTCCGCATGTCTTGGAAGATCCTCCTCGCCTCCTCCATGTCCAGCTTCCTGCACCAGCCCATCACCAGGCTGGTGTACGTCATCTCGTCGGCAGGGATATTCTTCTCCATCATCTCCTCCCGAAAAGTCAACGCCCTGTGGATCTCCCCGGAGCAGGAATACATGCGGATCAGCGCGTTGTACAGGGCCCTGTCAGGAACCAGCTCCTGCTCCTGCATCTCCCTGTACAAGCCCTCCACCTGCTGGATCATCCCCTCCAAGCTCGCCGCCCTGATCAGGATGTGGAAGGTGGCTATGGTGGGGCTGAGACCTTGCTTCTTCACCTCCTCGTAGACCTCGAGAGCCCTGCGGATGTCCCCGAGCTTGCAGAACCCCATGATAATGGAGTTGAAGGTGATCATGTCCGGGGGAGGACCTTTCTCTCTTAGCTGCGCCGCCAGCTCTTCGGCTTCCTTCACCTTCCCTTCTCTGCAGAGCCCGTCAATGATGGTGTTCAAGGTGACGATGGTCGGGGAGATGTTCTTCTCCTTCATATCTTCCAGACGCTTAATGGCGTTCTCCACTCTGCCGGATTTACAGTACCCACCGATGAGGATGTTGAAGGTCTGCGCGTTAGGGTTTATTCCTCTAGTGGGCATGTCCTCGAAGAGGAGCTCCGCTTCGGCGAGCTTGCCCTTCTTGCAGAGGCCATGGAGGAGGGCCCCGTAGGTCATGGCGTTAGGCCGGAGTCCCAGCTTCTGCATATGCTCGATCATGGCGAAGCACCGCTCGAACAGGAAGGCCTTCGCATAGGCGTTGACCAGGGTGTTGAAGGTCTCCACGCTTGGAGGGACTCCCTTCGTCGCCATTGCTCCGGCGAGCTCCGCCGCAGCCTCGAGCTTCTGCGACTTGCAGAGCCCATTGATGAGCGTATTGTAGGTGATGCAACCGGGGCGGACTCCGGCGAGCTCCATTCGCCGGAGCATGGCGAAGGCTCCTTCCATGTCGCCCTTCCGGCAGAACCCATCGATGACGGTGTTGAAGACAACCTCACCGGCGGCGGAGCTTCCCCTCTGCAACAACAGCTCCAAGATCTCCGCCGCCTTGCAGAGCTTCCCTTCCTTGCAGAGCCCGTTGAGGATGATGCTAACAGGGTAGTCGTCCATGGGGATGCCCTTCCTGATCAGCTCCTCGAGGAGGGAGATGGAGTCGCCGGCGGCGAGCCCGCCGGAGAAGAGGATGCTGTAGGTGTACCCGTCGGGAGAGATGCCAGTGGCCTCCATCTCTGCCACCAGCTGCTTCGCCGCCGCCGGCCGGCCGGCGCGGCAGAATCCGGCGAGCATGGAGTTGTAAGTAATGGCGTTGGGCTTGCAGGTGGAGACCTTCATTTTCTCCCAAACCCTAATCGCCGCCGGCAGGTCTCCATTACGTGAGTGTCCGTCGATCATGGCGTTGAAGGTGACGAGGTTTGGGTGGACGCCCGAGCTGAGCATTTCGTCGAACAGGTCGCCTGCGGCGGGGGCTCCCCGGAGCTTCCAGACGGCGGAGATGAGGATGTTGAAGATGAAGACGGTGGGGGACAGGCCGTGCTTCTCCTTCATCTGTAGCTTCAGCTTCATCGCCTGGTTCAGGTCGCCGGACTTGACGGCGGCGAGGATGACCTTGCCGTAGGAGAACCCATCTGGGCCGCCGCCGTCGCCGGCGCCGGAGGAAGAAGACGACGGCGAGGACTTCTCCATCTCGTAGAACACAGAGAAGGCGTCGCCGTAGCGGCGGGAGGAGACGAGGGAGTGCAGAAGGAGGTTACAGGAGGTGGTGGAGGGGCGGAGGGCCTTCTCCACGGCGGCGGAGAAGACGGCGAACGCCTGCTCCGGCAGGTTGAGGTCTGCGCAGGCACGGATGAGGAGATCGGCGGCGATGGCCGTGCCGGTGGGGAAGGACGAGGAGAGAGCGCGGAAGAGCTCGGAGGGGGAGGAGAAGGGGAGCTTCTCGCCGGAGATGGTGGCTTTGGCGAGGTCGACGGCGGCCAAGAACCTTCTTCCCCGGAGAAGCTCGCACAGCCGCCTCACGGCGGCGCTTTCCTGGTTCTCTTCTTTCAGGGCTGCTACTCCGCCATTTCTCTGATCACCCAGTTCTTTTTCTCCGGCGGTGGCGGCGGCGCTGCCGTCATCTCCACTGTGGAGTGTCGCTTGGTGGATGCTCGCCCTCCATGGCCGGAGCCCAGAAGGGAGAGCAGGATGAAGAAGACGACGACGACGACTATGACGAAGAAGAAGAAGAAGAGCGCACAACCCGCCGCCGGGGTACTTCCCAGGCGGGGCAGGCATCGTTCCGGCGGAGATCCCACCGCCTCTCCAGCACTCCTACGCCAAGTGAGAAATGGGTCGAGAGAGAGAGGGAGGGAGAGAGACAGAAAGGCGTTGACGGTTTTTATAGGCGTTGGGTATACGAGGGCTGGAACATGAGCTGACGCCCCATGAGGAAGCGTTGACATTGGTGCGAAAGGAGCAATCTTTTTCGCAAGGATCCAAAGTTGGAGGGCTGACATCGGAACCCGTCACCCCGAGGAATTGGGGTCGATGACCTGTGCTCTTTCGTCATCCATTGCAGATGGTCGCACCTTAAACTAACTGTAAAACGTCTTCATTTCCATCTCTATAAACCTTCCATTCCAAGAAAACTAGTCATCGCAGATCATCTTCTAGTGCTTATACCTGAAGCAATCTGTCTCCATATGTTTAAGCTGGACCTAAAGCCTGAGAAGTGCCTTACAAGCATTCAGGAGATGATATCAAGCCTGAGATTGGGGACGCCTTTGAAGACATACTTCAGGTGAAGAATAGTCAAAAAGCCTAGTGACGGATTGGGGAATATAGTAGGTCAATGATTGTCGCATCACAATCAAAGTTCTTATCACAAAACCATTTTTGCTAGCTTTGGTGCTCAATTTAGTCGATTCAACCCCTTCTTTTAGTAGCTTATAGACCTTGGATTCTCCAATCATAAGTTAAATCCCCTTCTTGGTGTCACCTCAACCATGACCCACTTCCTTGTCCTTTCTCACTAACCATGCACTCATGGTGCTACCCTTCCAAGTGAGCTCCCGCCTCTCTTCCTTTTATCCATTTGGTGCTTACGTCTACCATGTACTGTTCATCCACCTAACAAAGGGGAAGACGACACTTCTCTCACCTTGTTCTTTTCTACTCTCCTAATGCTCCCCATTTCTCTGTTAGGTGGCCTTGATCTCCCAATCCATTTAGCCAGCTAGCCCCACCAGCTCTCCTTGGAAAGAATTGCCGTCCCCATGGTTCTGATAGCTTGAGTCCAGGGGAATTCCTAGGAATAAGACATTATTTCTTTTCTATGTAAATATATTTAATTGAATTATGAGTTGATGATCTTACTAGAATGATGAGAAAAGTTACATGTAGTTGATGGTCTTTTCCTATGTTCAACAATTCTAGACCATTATTCATTTATTTATTTGTAGACTTATTACATATTTCTTATTTTTCTCTCCTTTATATGACCATTGAGATGACAACATATAATATTATTTTTTTATATTATGAACATTAGTTTTTCTTTATTCTACAGAAAAATATTGTGTACTACACTATTTATGGAGGAAGTAATAAAATAGTGTTTTTGATGGCTCACAACATGTTTCAAAATTTAGTCTTTGACATTTCTAATGATAATAGATTCTTATCGAATGGGCTAAAACTGATAATTTCAGATATATATGTTCAAGTTTAACATCTATGCTTACTAGTTTAACCTTAGAGGATATCAATTTCTTAAATAAAGCACCGTTCTTATGTTTGACCACTCAAGTCTCTAACTATTTTTAAGATTTTAATGTCTTCCAAAATTAAAAAGCTTCCTAATGGGTAAATATAATCAAGTGCAATTCAATTGTCTCTTCATCAAAGTTTTGAACAAGATATCAATATTCATCAAATTACATAAAATGCTGATGGTAATTTTTTTCTTTATATCTTGTAGCATAAACTTGTGATTATGTTTCATTTTAATCACTCAAAGGAGTTGAGCCCTATAATCATCTTTGGCCAACCTAGAGTAGTGAATGTAGATGATAATTTTGAGTCAAAATTCGTAGGGAATTATTTTGGTAATGAATTGTTGTCATGAAACATAGATTTAGTGGGATACAAGAATGAGATGTTCTTGCAGAATGGAGGGAGGTAGAGGGCCAAATCACTATAAAAGGACTACAATGAATACATGAATTCAATATTTAAAATTTCAAGACCCAAGAAAATTGAGGGCTAAAAGAAAAGATTAAGAAAATAGAATAGCTAACTTGAATGTAAAATTATACAGCTTCAAAGTTTGATTGGCAAAGGGCGAAGGAAGCAAGCCCGATATGTTGTAAATAGAGGAAATGCTTGTTTCTGGTTGGATACATGGTGCCTTGGGAGACCTTTATACTCATACCTGACTTATCTTAGCTGGAGAAAGATGCGTTAAAAGCATGTAATAAGATAAATTGAATCCCCTTTTCTTATTTAAATATGGCTTTCAATTTTTATCATTTTTTTTCTTGGACAAATATTAATCATACAATTGTTTAAGTTGACATGCTTCCATCTCTTTTTGTGGGTTGACACAATCTAGTGAGTGAACACATGGGTTAAGTTACTTTCTATCTCCTCTCATTTTTGTTTAAAAAGATTTCTTATGGTTTGTTTTGAGTTGATTTGTTTCTAATATATTTTTGATGTGTAGTATGATCATTTGAGGCTTGAAAAATATAATTAAATTAAAAAACTATATTTAAATATTTATATCATTATTGTTGATAATTACGCTAAAAAGGTCATAATAATTTTTATTCTAATTTATGCAATTAGGATTCTAACATAAAAATCATTAAATCTAACAACTTCCTTATTCAGGAATTTGAACATTAGAAGAATTTTAAGATGTCACAATCGATTTTCTAACAAATTTTAAAATTTGAGCTTGCAATTTGAGCGTTCAAATTTTCCCTCATATTTTGGTCTATTTAAGTAGAGCAATTCATTTGTGCACACAGTTTCTCTCTCTCCAAACTACAAAAGGTTGATAAAACCTTTGGTGGGTGGGCAGTTAGGTTAACATAATTACTCTCATTTTCTTATAATTAATTCATTTTACTCTAGTTTGTTTTTATCTTGATGGTTATTTATTTGTTGATTTTTTTTCCATTGAGGCTTGAAAATATATATAATAAGTAAATTACGTTTTATGATTTAGATCTTGATTCTTGGGTTAGTGTATTTAAGAAACTTTTGAGCACATTTTTTATTTTATCTAGTGTATAGTAAGTAAACTTTATAAACTTTAAGTAAACATTTCATAATTTAGATCTTGATTCTTGGGTTAGTGTATAATACATTAAATTTTGATTTAAATTTTAATTTTTAACATCAAACTTTATAAACCCAACACACATATTCATGTACTACAATAAATCAAAATAGTTTATATAACTTTCTCAATTAAATTATTCATTATGATTTTATAATCAGTGGCCTAAATAGTTTAAATGATTAATTATATTTTTATTGATTCCATTGTATCACTGAACACAAGTTTAATGACCTTAGGAAGTCTAATCCCAAAGATTAAAATATATTGAATTCAATATCTTTTTTGAATATAAGTCAAGATTAAGTCAATTTATCTCCCTTTATTGTATGTTAGCTCTTTTATGGTATTACAACTCTAGGCTTTTTTTGACATTGATTACCTTGTAGGTACATGCATGCTCACATTTACAATATATATTTACATATAAAAAGGAAAGGTGGGGCGGGAGAGAAAGAGAGATCTTACTAATTTCTTGTCTTATAAGATAAGAAGATGCATGGACATAGGTATAAATTATTGGTCGTTCTCATCATTGTGAAGCATTGTCTTACCATTAACTCAACCTAAATGAAAGGTGACTGTGTATAGGAAAGGGATAATCGTATTTATTGAGTCATTATTATCAGTTCAAGTGGGGCCAAAAATAAGAACCGAGAGGGGGAAGGTCTAGTTAGTCTTTTATTACTCGAGGTCTCCTCCAATTAGTTTGGGTTTGTCCATACAAGGTCATTTGTCTTCTCCTTGGGTTAGTGAAATCTAGATGAGAATAGTCCTTTTCATGATAGAGACGTGAGTTGTCCACTTCTGCGTTGTATGTAGCATAATTAGTACAAATATAGTTAATCAATTAATCTGGTCAGGCCAAAGATTACTGTGAATTAGAAAATTATTCATCAAAAGGTTTTACCACATGGATACAAACATAATCATCTTATCTAGTTCCGAATCAAACAATTTCATCTTTTCATCGTCTTGAAAAAAATATTTTGTAAGAAAAAAAGGAACGGTAAATATTATTCATAGGGAAATGAATACAAATATATATTCTATTTCTTATATCCATAATATCAAAATGACTCCAATTGATTTAAATATCGGTATATTGAGGAGGACACATTATCTACCTTTTTGTAACTATAAACAATATTCAATACGTCTAGGTTCGCGAATACATTCATGCCTTCTTTGCCCATCATATCCATCCATTCCTCCAGAACCCACGGCCGTGATCAAGCACTTCTTGTGGGTCCCTGTCACAGAAAAGTCAAGCGTGAGCAAGGCTGCTCCCTGCCTACACGTCGTCGGACAGATATTTCTATCCTCATCACATGGGTCCTGGCAGTCTTCATCCTTATCCACTGCCTGTCCTTCTCCAGTCAGCTCGCGCCACCCCCAATGCCCCATTAACGCCATTATTCCGTTCATCGTGCTTATGAGCTCATAACCCAGTATTTTGGCAAGTTTTTTGATATATATATACAGACAGTCGGCAACGTTCCTGGAGTAGTAGCAGTATCAGAACGAGAGGAAGGAAGATGGTGCTGCTCGACAAGCTGTGGGACGACGTGCTGGCCGGTCCCCACCCCGACCGCGGGCTCGGCAAGCTGAGGAAGATCTCCACCCAGATTCCCCCCACCTCACCCAAAGGTTGGGCCTTTCTTCTTTTCAAGCGGGGACTGGTGATCTGACTGTACTTTCTGCGTCTGATGATCTGTGTGTGATGATCTGCGTGTGATGATCGGTGTGTACTTCCTGTTGGTGATGATCTGTGTATTGAGTTCTGTCGACAGAGGGTGGGGGTGGCGGGGAGAGCAGCGGTGGAAGCGCCGCCGCCTCCGTGAAGCTGCAGCGATCCATCTCGATTCCGGGGACGCCCACGACGCCTGTGACGCCAAGCACGCCATCGCCGCGCGCCAAGGAGAACGTTTGGCGGAGCGTCTTCCACCCGGGCAGCAACCTGGCTACAAAAGGCATCGGCGCTGAGATCTTCGACAAGCCCCAGCCTAACTCCCCCACCATTTACGACTGGTTCGCCACCCCCCCCCCCCACCTCTCTCTCGCTGTGTCTCTCTTTTTCTATCTTTCTTTGTCGCTCTTATAACTCGATGTCGTTTACGGGCAGGCTTTATAGCGGAGAGACCAAGAGCTCGCATCGTTGAGGTGGAGGATCTACGTAGTAAATAGGCCGCTTTCATGGGAGGCAGTCACCGTAGCATATGCCATCTTCCTTCGTGCTCCTAAGGGTGTTCTCGTGTGTTTAGCGTTTGAATAACTTAGATCTGTGTGATGGGCATCCCTCTGGTATATGTACTGTGGATTCTGTACATGAAAGCTAAGATCTTTGCGCTCTGATCTGTCTGGGCTGACGACGCCATACCATCATCGGCTGGATCGCGGTTTATATTTGGCTACAATCGTTGATATTTTATTTATTATTATATATATTTTTTTTCAATTTTATTATTATAAGAGAAGTAATATATTTTGCCTTCTTCTGGGTCTTGTTGGCGTTTTCCCGTTTTTTAATCACGAACTGGGAAATATAAAAAAAGATCACGTTTTTTTGCTAAATTTGTTAATAAACATTTCCAAAGAAAAGCTTAGATTTTAATCTGATTGGACTTTGAAAACATCTTCTTCGCCAGATCAAGGGCAGGTCAACAAGTTGGCTAAAGAGGGTGTGGCCCAGATCGTCAAGACCCCCCCGCATCTCATGGCTCCCATGGACATCCACCGTTCGAATCAGAACCATCGTGAATCGCTCTGCAAACCTCCGAAAATTTCCGAGGTTATGGGAAGGGCAGAGAATGCCACCCTTTCTAGCGCCGACAGGCTCTTAGGGCTTCCACCTTATCTCGGTCGCCTCCCCGGCCCGAGGGGCCCATCCGAATCTAAAGCAAAAGTGGGAACTCACCTGAATGATTAAGATTCATTCGGCGGGAATCCCAAAGAAGAAAATAAAGTTGTGAGAAATCATAAATCCCCAAAGAAGAAAAGGCCAATCCTGGGGAGGAAAATAACTCAAAGGCGGCCGTGAACCTTCTTCATCCCCGGAGAAGCTCGCTCAGCCACCTCACGGCGGAGCTTTCCTGGTTCTCTTCTTTCGGGGATGCTCCTCCGCCATTTCTCCGATTACCCGGCTCTTTTCCTCCGGCGGCGGCGGCACTGTCGTCGTCTCCACTGTGAATGGTCGCCTGCTGGATCCTCGCCCTCCATAACCGGAGCCCAGCAGGAAGAGCACAATGAAGAAGACGACGACGACGACATAGAGGAAGAAGAAGAGCGCCCAGCTCGCTGCCGGGGGACTTCCCAGGCGGCGCAGGCATTCTTCCGGCACCAAGTGGGAATTGGGTCGACAGAGAACAGAGAGAATAAGAGGGAGGGAGAGACAGAGGCATCGATGCTTTTGATAGACGTTGAGGCCTACAATTGCATATACAAGGCTGGAAATGAGTTGACAGCCGATGGGGAAGGGTTGACATATGATGCAGAAGGAACGACCTTTCGCAAGGATCCATAGTTGGAGTGTTTACATCGGCACCCACCACACCATGGAACATGTCGCTCTTGGGAAATTGAGGTCGACAGCTTGTACTGCTTGGAATCATCAAAAAAGGTAGGCTTTTCCTCCATCTCGTTTAGCCTGTGTCCGTTGGCCATTCTTTGCAGATGGTCGCTCCTCAAGCTATTTAAAAACGTCTTTTTCACACCTCTATAATCCCTAGCGTTCCCAGAAAACCAGCCATTAGAGCTCTTCCAGTATTGATGCCTAAAGCAATCGAAGGTCTCCATATGTTCAAGCTGGACTTAAAGACAAGCATTCCGGACATGGTGTCAGTGTGTTAAATTGAATTTAAAAAACTTGAGAACAAACAAAACTTGTGCATACAAACGATTAGGCGACACCATTGGAGGACATACTTCAGGAGATTAATAGTCAAATAGCCGAGGGACGGCTTGGGGAATATAGTAGGTCTAGAATCGTCTTATGACAATAAAATTTCCTTTTCTGTAATATTTCTTATCACAAATCCTTTCCTATAAGCTTTAATGTCAATTTAGGCTATACCGCCCTTTGCTTTAGTATCCTATAGATCAAGGACGCTTCGATCATAAGTTTAATCCGCTTCTTGGTGTCACACCAACCATGGCCTAGTTCCATGACTTTTCTTAGTAGCCATGCACCCATGGCCCCACCTTTCCAAGTGAGTCCTTGTCAGCCTTCCCTTATCCATTTAGTGCTTTTGCCTTTCATGTCCAGCTCACGCACCTAGCAAGGGGAAGACGCCACTTCTCTCGGGTTGTTCATACTCTCTTAATGCCCTCCCCTTTCTTTGTTAGGTGGGCGTGATCCCACTATCCATTCAGTCATCCGCCCCCAGTAGCTCCCCTTGGAAAGAATTTCCATCCCCATAGTTTGGGTACCTTGAGTCAGTCCAATGCCTTGGAATAAGATCTTATTTATTTTAGATAGACTAATGATTAATTGAATTATGAAATGATGTTAAAATCATGAAATAAACAATTAGTTGATGGTTTTCATTAGTGATCAACAATTATATAGCCTTCTTCATTGACTTATTTCTAAAAGTCTAAAAAAGTCATTAGTTTTCCCTCTAAGATGGCTATTGAGATGACACCATCTTAAAGCTTTTTTTTGATGAACAGGAGTTTCATTTATAGAAATTTTATTAGATTGTGAACTATTTATTGAATAAACAAGAAGATAAAAGTTTAGATATCTCACAATATGTTTCAAAACTCTCTTTCTAGCATTGGTTTGAGGGTTTCTTGTGTCTCCAACTTTTCAGAAATTAAAAATAATTATTATCCTTATTTTAGTTTAACCTTTTAATTATATGACTCTATTTAGTATTTTTTATTATTTCTACATGATGGTTACTTTTACATGGTTCAATGTAAATAGTAGAAAGCATTAAATATGTACTTCAGACTCATAATATTGCAAAATGAGCTATTACCTGCTCATGTATGGGGAAGATTGATGGGAAAAAATAAGTGTATGACCTAAAAAAATATTTTAATTGATAGCCTTTTAATTAAATATATATTTCGAAAGAATGGGGGTATTTCTATATTTTCTGTTAACTTTAAAGCATAATATATTGATCTAAAGTAGTAGGAAATTATGCTTCATAACTACTAAGTAGGTAAATTATTTTTTCCTTTTAAATGTTGTTGTCAAATGTGTATTTTATAATTGACATAAATAATATCCAACCTTGTGGTTCAATAATTTCTTTCTAATCGTTACTCATTATGTTTATATCTAACTTTAGTTTATTAATGAAGAGATTGATCAATTTTAAGGGTTATGCCTCTCTATTTTCTTTGGTGACAAGGAATTGTTATTAATAAGTTCTTAATAAACCTCACATAAAAGGATGCTAGTATGCCAAAACTTCTAACTCCATGGACACTTTTAGGTTTTGGTCAATCTAATATAGCCTTAATCTTCTATGGATCTGCGAATACATTTGATGAAGATACTATAAGTCAAAGGAAACTAGCTTGTGTAGTAAAGAAGATGCATCTTTTTGGAGTGGAAAATAATGATTCTTTCTTTAATGTCTCACATACCATGTGCAAATGTACTAGATATTTCTCATGTGATTTATTATATATAACTATATCATCAAAATAAATGACAACAAATTTATATATATAATATTTCAGCACATGAGTATTAATCAGCCTTTAATCTCACTGATTTTACATTCAAAAATAGAAAAATACTTGTTATTTATGGAATACTGGGAACATGAATAGAGGATTTTGAATGTAAGACTTTCTACTACATCCTTACCTAGTGGTTAACATAAATTGCGTTGACACTTTTTCACTTGTGTTTGAGATATTTGTGAATAGAAAAGGCATAAATCACTTGTGTTTGAGGGTAGTCTTTTGCAAAAGATATCTACTGAAAACTATTCTGCAAAACGGGCATAAGGAAACAAGTGAAGGTCACCTAAATGATTGAGAATGATTCGGCAAGAGAAGATAAGATAGTTATGAAAAAAATATAAAGAGATTGCCTACACAAATCCTGGAGATGAAAAATTAATTCAAGGGAAAATTATTCACAATTTTTGTGGTGATAATTGTAAAATAATGAGAGCTTGTAGGCAACTTACATGGAGAATTATATCTCATTGCCTTTGTAAATTTGTCTTATTGATGCTAGTCTACTTTCAAGCTTAGATCCCATCTTTCCATAGTCTATGGGTTTTTGGAAATCACTAAAAAAATATATTCAATAATATTAAACTTTATTTGGCATATTGGTTGATTGAAAACCACCAAACCAAAATTATGATGACTCAAGCTCTATAATTGGATAGAAATCTTGCTTGAACTAAAAATAAGCATAGCTAAGATTAAAAATGACAAACAAGGAAATTACTAATTGATGGGGTCAACTATCCAAGCATCCATGAATGCAATAGGTCTCAATTGGGATCACAGATGGATATAAATCATATTAGTCCAATTTGGATCAAGGAAAAGTTGATCCAATAAGGGAACTGGGCTTCGATCTAGACCCATTTTTAAAGGAAAGGATAGGACGGAGAGAAAGAAGCATTCACCGCTTCCTTTTCTCTCTCTCCCAACCTACTCTCTAAGGTACCAGTTGGGAAGACATTAATAACTACACAAGCAACTTTGGGAGCACAAATCAAAGATCAAAATTGCAGCTAAGATCAGAGGATTCCATGAGGCATCAATTGGGAGGGTCAAAGATGTCAAGGTAGTAATTAAGAGGCATCAACCACCTAATTTTTATATGTAACTTTCCCTCCTTCTCATAACTACCCCTAAATTTCATGTATAAGAAGGGGATTTTGTGTAATATTTTGGAGAAAGGAAGTAATGAATTTTATGTTGGAGATTTTTTTTTAATTTTTGTCATTTTCATAAAGGTAGGCCATGGTGGCCAATCACTCCTTTGAGAGAGGTTGTGAGGGTCAATGACACATCCTTAGGGAGGCCATGAGCATTTTCATTCCACGAATTGATAATTATAAATTAATAATTGCATCTATATATTAATATCTTATATAGAGATGTTAATTAATCGATAGAGAATGCAATTATACATATGTTATTGACTCATTATGACATTCATAATATTTTATCATTTAAGTCTTAATGTATATTATTTTATTTATTTTATTTATATTATGAGACTAAACCCACTTGACTTTCATAAAGTCAAGTGGTGATTCTCTCATATTTTTTGATAATTATTTGATTGCAAGAGCTTAGGTGAACTCTTATTATGAGTTAGAAGTAATAGAGGAAGGCCAAGTCTGATGGAGAGGGTCTACCTAATATGTTTATGGGCCCAAGAGAGGGAGTCACCTTGGCCTAGCCCATTTTGACCTAAAAAGGCTATCAAAAGATGAGATTTAGGCCGCCCATCTTAGGGCACCTTAAGAAGAGACTAAGAGGAGGATTAGAGTGCTGCCCTCATGGAAGAATTTGGACTATCCCCCAAGAGAGTCAGTTATAAATCTTAACTATCCATTGGAGGGGCCTAATTCTCTAGAGGTTTAAGACATCTTGTCCCCCTCTTGGAGGGTGCTTTTTGGCTCTCTCTTTAGCAGTGGCTAACAGAAGGAAATAGGAGAGAAATCAAAGCCCAGTCAATGAAACTTTTTTGCTCAAGATTATTTTGGAGAAAAGACTACCTAAAATATGTCAAGATCATTATGGATCAAGCACCACTCGACCTAGGACTAGCACACAATGAGGTACATGCAAAATCTAGATTTGGGGTGTCCTTGTAATATTCTCTATGGATAGATTAACTCTTAGTTCGAACTAGTTTTATCATTTGTTCTATCATTCTATTGTGTTAGATTTATTCTCTCCTTTTTGTCACATTTTTTATTTTTCTTGTCTTGACTCTTTTTAAATTTAATTCTACCCTACATGAGCTCAAGTATACCTATATATATAATAAATAAAATAAGTAAAGTTCTTACTTTCATTACCCATGCTCCTTGAGGATTGACCCTTATTTATTCTAAATAAAAGAGTGAGATTTTATAAATATTATTTGTTTGACTTTGGTTGCATCAAGATGATATATTTAACCTCTAAATTGAGTTAATCACCCATTGACCTTTCTCACCCTTTCATTTTATCTTTCATCACTTTTTGAAATCATTGAAGATTTATCTTGAGGTCCACGAGCCAACAATTATGAGATTTCATCTCTCTATATCAAGGTATGGTTGACTTGTCTTATTTTAGTGATTTTTAATCTGATTTCAAATCTCTTTCTTGTAAATTATCATTGAGTGAATCTAGGATATCCCTAATTCATCTATTTAGTAAAATAGATGGTATTGATGGTATTGTTTCTCCTCTCTATATAGTAAATAACCCACAACAATATACCCTATAAAATGAAGAAAATCCCATGCTCCACAACAACATAAGAAACATATTGTATACCACCTACTAGGATGTATGAACTTAAGTTAATGTCTATTGTTTACCCTATACAAAAGAGATCAAGAGCATAATTTAAACAAAGTTCTTGGAAAATAGCGAGGTCGCCAATTTTGGGAATAGGATTTATCCCATGCCCTTATTCTAGTATTCTACCTGCTCCTTGAAGTAAGGAAGGGAATGAAGATGGCATAGAATGCCCTATTGAAAAGAAGGATAGGAGCAAAATGAATAATTCATGATATAGGAGCTTATATTGAAAGTGATAAACTATTTTCAACAATATGTTGTCATTGATACCTAGAGAGTGAAAATGATTTTCTTAAGAGGAAATGACTTTTAGGCATATTAATCTGCATAATAGTTGTTGGATTTTATACCAGCCATGCTAGCAAGGTAGTGCGCACTTGTTGTTGTGTTTAAATACACACTATCCAATAATATTTATACTTAAAATTTAATAAAATATTAATATAGAAATAAGTCTCAAGTCGAACACAAGGAGATTGATTAATTTGTTGTGAAAACTAATTTAATTTCTATATATAGTGATTTTAATATTTTATTAATATTTAATAGAAATAATAAAATAAAGGGTGAGGTGAGAAGAATAAAGGAAGGGAAGTAAAGAAAGGAAAGGAGGAAAAGAGAGAAAGAAGAGAGAACTCTCATGAGAGAGAGAAGGGATGAGATCTCTCGCGAAAGGGAGAGAAAGAGAGAGGAGGAGAGAAAGCTCTCATGAGAGAGAGAAGGGATGATGTCTCTTGTGAAAGGAAAAGAAAGAGAAGGAGATTGATCAAGAGAGAGGGAGAGAAAGAAAGAATCTCATGAGAGAGAGAGAGAGAGAAGAGAGGTCTCACAAGAGAAGGAGAGAGAGAAATAAGATGAAAAATGAAGAAAGAGAGAAATATGATCAACCAATTTTCTCAAATGAATGTGTGCTTGAAGATTCACACACATGACATGAGGTCAGCTGTGAATGTCTCCACCTTGTTTTAACTATTGAATGCTTATTAATCAACCTTTAATCTAAGTGATTTTATGTTTAAAAATAGAAAAAATACTCGTTATTTGCGGAACACCATGAACATAAATATATCAAAATTCGACTATGAAAATCAATAGAAAACAAGTTGGAAATGGTCTTTGCTTAATCTCATGTGAGTTTTGGAAGATTCAGAAGAAGAACGAAGATTATACATCAAGTTTTGAATTAGTTCTACTCATTTCAATCTAAAATATATGAAATGGAAAGAACTTACCATAAAATGTAAATAAATGACAAAAGTAGGTAAGTAAATCCTAAAAATAGAAAATAAATCATTGTCCAAGTTTAGTCTATCTGTTGGGTAATTGGAGTCACCAATGAGGTGGCTTGGTTACATCTAGACATGCCACACCAAGTTGGAAGTCATAGAAATATCATTTAGAAATGTTGTGCTGCTTGCTAGAGGGATCCGCCAAAAGAGGGGTTGACCACATTGTCACCGTCGTTTGGGGGGAGGAGGGAAGAGCTAACCACTCATTAGAGCCCTTGAGTGCAGTCGGGGGAAGAAGAAAGAAGCTTGCCGATCATCGAAGATGTTGATCATACAAAAGAAGAGAAGAATGGATTGCCTTATTCGTAACTACTGTCGAAATTTTAAAGATAATCGATAATATCTATTTTACTAGATAATAATTAATTATTATCTTTATGTCCATGATGGTGATACATGCAAAGACTTAAGTTCCTAATATCGTGGTGCTTCAAGAGCCGCTGGATCAAATGAGCTTGGTACATGGTGTGCTGAGCAATGCAGGATTAACCTACAACAAACTATTGTCAATCGAAAACTTATGTTGTTAGTACCGTGACACCTCCATAGCCATCGGATCATCCTTTAAGGTCACGTGCATGCTGAGCAACATTTGATTCATGAACCGCCGATGGATCACTTTACGCATCTAGTATCATGGTGGTTTGCAAGCCGTAGGGTCTGGCTAATCTAATGACGTGGCTCTCTACATACTATTAGATTACACCACGCTTCAAATGGTTGTGCTATAATAATTGAAAACATTTAATCTCACATCAGAAATATATTGAATGTATGTGTCGAATATAAACTAAAGCTTCTCTATGTCAATATAGATCCTATCTCTTGAAATAAAATAATACTTAGGACCATCTTGGGAAAAGGTAATAAGGTGGTCCACCCTCTCATACGCACGTGTGTACGGGCACTCCTTGCTCCATGACTAGTTGGCCACCAAGACATGGAAGGGGAGCAACACACATGTGCACAAAGTGAAGCCTTTGCCACTCAAGCCTAACTCGTGGCTTTGCTAGTCTAGGTCTACCTACTCGACCATTGTCCTCCCTCTAGTTCAGTTGTTGAGTGCTGACTTGCCAACAAGAGGAAAAGTTTTATTTTATTTTATTATTTTTATTTTAATTAAAAAAATTATGCTAAGTATTTTAACTTCAAACTTTTAAAATTAACCATATATCCCATATTTATTTTGCAAGTTAACAAAATAAAATCAAATAATAAAACTAATTAAAACACATAAATCCAGCTTTAACACATGGGAATCCTCTTTAAGAGCCATTTCTGAAAAAGTATTTATGAAAACATTATGTCCTTCTAATTTCAACTATATTGGGATAATAGTTGAGAAAAGTCTTTGCTACTACTAAAATGATAGAAAAATATCAAGTTATATATAATTAAATTGGTCACAAAAAATTAATGTTCTCCACACTAAGAAAATGAATTGATTGCACTTTAATTGGTTATGAGATGGTTGTTGGACTTCCTTTTCATCTGAAGTAGGTTAGGCCCATGTAAGACATATCATTATTGCCCCTACAAAAGATGCCTTATCCTCAAGTTAGAAGTCCATAAATTATTGTTTTAGAGCCTCCAAAGGTTCTCATATTTATTCAAAGTCAAGTAGGATGTCACATTGAAGCAACACCTCTATTGTGTGCTCCTCTTGTGGTTTGATGATTGATTTAGCTGGTTAGCCATATTCTTTAGCGCCAAGGTCTTTCTTATGTTACAAGACATGAAACACTAAATGAATTTGTGAATTGAAGGGAAATAATGATCAATAGGTAACTAACTAATATTTTTCATGATTTGATAGGGGTTGAAGTAATAAGAAGTGAAAAGTTTTCATTATCATGAGTTAATAATTAATAATTAATATAGTTTTAGTCTTAACTCATGATAAATAGACTTATATTTGTGTTAAATTGTGAATTTTTTTTTTCAGTTGATTAACATGAATTTTTGCCTAATTATGTGATTTATAATTAAAACTCATGAATTTATATAATTTTTATAGTCCTATTTTTGAGATAAATGAAAAAAAATAAATTAAAATAAAAATATAAAAGGAGGGGACCTACCGACCAACTAGGCTTGCAAATAGGTTGGAAGCATAGTTGAGGGGAACTGCGAGTAAAGGCTTGAGTAACTAGGACTGATGGAGGCATGTGTGCATCACTCTCCTTCCACCTCATCAGTGGCTAGCCGTCTATGGGGCAAAGAGTGGTCATACATGTGAAAGAAAGAGACTCAAAGTTTACAAATGTGATATTATTATATATTCGCCTAAAACTTTGACACATAAGTGATGTGGGACTAAACTCATGTCACACCTTCTCCGAAAGACTTTGAAGATTGTAATACCTAAACTACCTCTTTGTTATAATAGAGATATACCATGATAATGTCACTTGATAAAGGCATTTGAGTATTTATTTCAATCTCTCTCATGTAGGTAGGTAATTAACATGAGTTCAAATCTTGTTAGAGTCAAAACTCGTATTTTTATTTGATTATCGTGACTTTTCTATAGATTGTCAATAAAAGATTAAGTCACCAGAATCATTGAATCATTGGCAAAAATCTCATCAATACGATTCGTAAAATATTGTTATAAAAATTATTGAACAATTCATGATAAAAGGATCGCGAATGTATTGAGTAAATCATCTCTGATTGATCAGCAAATAAGCCGTCATCGGGAAGAGGACGATGTCTTAGGAGATGAGTCGCTGTCTCCTAAGAGTATACCATATCCGATGAAGAGCCTTCTCTTACTACGCAGACTTGAGGATGAAGCTCCCTAATATGCGCTCCACCTCCATCTAGTTTTTCTTTGTCAGGTGACAGTCGTTGGAGAACTGCAAAGTTGTTATTTTTTCACTCTGCCAAGTACAACCATTGGAGATGATTCGACGACCCCTTTTATTAATCTCTAAACTTTACAAAGAGATTTAGAGATTGTTCACATCATCCTTATTTAAGAAGAGTCTTCGAGGTTATAGATACTACACGAGAATTCTTTCGAATGCTCAAGATTCTAGTTCATCATTGACATATCAACATCACAATGTCGGAACTCTGTTTTCTTACTTTCAACTTAGTTTCTACTTTATTTAGTGATAATTTATGTGATTTAAATTTACTAAGCTATACTTCATTCAATTATGATTTTTTTGACTTTTATAAACCTTAATTTGATCAATTAAATCATTTATAATCATTTATGTAAGGATCGTCAGTCGGAACTTTATTTCCACATAATTCACCTTTGTCAAGCACTATGTCATTCTAACATCCGCACCTTATTTTCCTTTTTCATGAATTTTAAATATATTTTATTTTTATTTCTTAGTATAAAATTCATAAAAACTCGTATTCTTTGAGGTAAATTCTGAAAAATTACCTAATATTATACTATATCCTTGTGATCGATTTAGAAAAGTATCACTATTTTTGAAAGTTTTATTAAATTATAATTGATATATTTATTCAAAGATACTTCTAAATATTCAAAAATTAGTATTTTCTAGTTTTATAAATTTTAAATTTACGTGATTTACTATAAAATGATTAAGTCACGTCAAAAAGTGATAACATGATATTTGTGTTGATTATTTCTTACATTTCATGTTATTTTTCTTTATTTAAATCCTAAAAATATCATGTTATTAACAAACTGATTTAAATATTTTTGGATTTATATTAATTTCACTATTTGCACACTATGCATGAATTTTGCACGATTTTGACTAACCCTACTTGACTTCTCTGAAGTAAAGCAGTTTTATTACTAATAAATATTTTCAAGTTTTCATGCGTGTAGAATTTAACAGAAATCAATAATAAGTTAAGAGCACTTTAGTGGATGAAAGTTAGCTTAATAGGTTAAGAGTACTTTGGAGGAATTTCAGATTCGGAGCTTCAAAGAGAAGTCAAAGGAGGTTCTGGGGCCATGTCCAGGCCCATTTAGACCGGCCTAAATCCATGGAGGAAACGATGTGGAAATTCATGGAGAGAGATTAAGAAATTATGAAGGGGCATTTTAGTCATACGTGCCCTTGAATAAATACTCTCTTCCTCTCTCTTTCCCGCCCTATTCTGGACGTGCTCTAGCAGTGACTAGCCAGCAGGACAAGGCATTCTCCAGGATCTGGGGTATCCACCCTGATAGATGTAAGTCGTTTTGAAGCGTTCACTCTTGCTCTTCCCTTTCTTGCAGTGAAAAACGCCTGATCCTGGCGGAATATAAGGATCCAAGAGGAGGAAGAAGTCTTGAGGACTCAAAGGACGAACATCAGCACCAATCTTCTCGTTATACCTCTGAACCCTCATTTTTTCTGTTGTTTCCCATCGCTCTGTCTTCCGTTCCGCCCCCTCCAGCTGCTCCACGTTTCTCTCTATTTTCGCCCATCGTTCCTTCTCTCTCCGTCTTCTCTCGCAGCCTCCTTCTCCCGCAGCCTCCGTCTCTTTCCGTTGTCTTCCCGTCGCTCCATCTGCCGCCGCCTATAGCCAGCCACCGTGCGCTTGCTACCGGTCGCTGCATGCCCGTAGCTCCTCATCTCTCTCGTCCACCGACCACCGCTGCCGCCTATCGCCAGCAGCCGCGTGTCCGCTGAGCACCGCCCCGTGTCCATCGCCAGCCGCTGCACGTCCGCCGACCGTTGCGCCGCCTATCGCCAGCCGCCGTGCGCTCGCAACCGGTCGCTCTCTCTCTCTCTGTCCTTCCGGACGTAACCGAAAGTCCTAAATTTCGGTTAAGTCTGGAAACGGTCACGGGAGATCTGCAACCCGCGCAGCCCCTCCTCTGACCCCGACTGTCAACCGCCAAGGTAAGTTATTTTAGTATTATTTATTGTTGTTCTTTTGTATTAAAAAAATAATAAAAAAATCAATTAAAATTAGAAACAAATACTAAAAAAATAAAATTCTAATCATTAGCTGTATTTTCTGCACAGGGTAATTCCAGAAAATTGTATTAAGCTCTCTAAAATCCTGAAATACTTCCAAAGAGTGAATTCCTAACTTCTAAATCTATTTCTACCATTTTTAACACTAAAAGATCTGAAATTGAACTCCTGCCTCCTTGTGGATCAACCCCTTATTTGCCTTGTGTCTGATATAGAGTAACTAAATGGAAAATTTATTGTTGGTTAAGTCTGAATTAAAACAGCGACACAAAAACCCTTAAATTTGGACTTATCATGAAGGTAATTTCAATAAAATTTTTGGTCCTAATAAGATAAAAAATGAGGGGTTGAATTGACCTACGTTTTTCTTCTTTCTTCTTATATAAGATGTTGTTGAAGATTGATCATCTCTTAGGATAATGGGTATATAAGATTCGTATTTCACCTAAAATACGCTATACTCTTTTGATGGGTTCAGTTCATTGCCTATGTCCCTCTCTAAGAGTGAAATCTATTTTTGGATTCCACTAATTATTGTTTGACCATAATTGTTGACTAACAAGCTAAGGTCCTATGAGGATTTACATAGGAATTCCCTTCAAAATTCATAATTATAAGAGCTATAACCTATGGGGATAACTCCAACTTGAGTTAAATAAGACTTTAAGATTATATTTATCACAAAAGAATAAGAAATTTATTTTCATAGGAGGCTTTTGGAGACTAATGTTAACTTGGGATTCATTGGGAGTTTTGAAGAGGAGAATTATGTTGTAGCCTTGGATACACCAGTCCGCTTCACATAATAGAGTTGACTATCAATAGAGATCACATTGGCTAATAGTATGCTTGGAAAGGCTGCTCTAGAGCTTGACAAGCAGTCCTTGATTTAAAACTTTTTCAATTTTCACCCACATGCTCGAAACCTCACTCATTTCTCATTGAATATTCAACATAGTATCCTACATTCAAAGTTGGATGTTATAGTAAAAGGGTGTATATTTTATACATCTTATATATTCAAAATCCTTGATATTTATTGATAAATCTTATGTGAAAATATTTCCTAATTTCTGAGGTTTTCAATCTCTACTTTTATTGGAATACACATAGAGTTGAAGTCAATTTAGATAACCTTGAATGAAACCAGGATATGATGCTATGAAAAAATAATGTTCTAATGTATTTTTTATTAGTTTAAATTAATTTAATAATGAACCAGTAATATGAAAATAAATTGATAGCATGTGCTTCATTGACAATATAATTTAATTATCAAACTTGAATTTACTTACATGACATTGTTTAGTCATTTTATAATAAATCATGTAAATTTAAAATATATAAAACTAGAAAATAGTAATTTTTATACTTTTAGACATACTTGAGTAAAAATAAATTGATTATAAATTAGGTTTTAAGAATAGTAGAAAGTTTTCAAGTCGATCATAAAGATGTAAGATAATATTGAGTAAAATTTAAGATTTATTTTACAAAATATATATTTTTATAATTTTTAGAGTAAATAATAATAATAATAGTACTGATATATTTTTTTTAGAAATAAAATTTGGATGCAGTCGTCATGATAACTTCAACACTTTGACATATGTATAACCTATTGTGGTGAATGATTATCTTATGAAACATCATAAAAATAGAATAAGTACTTTTATTGAACCAAATGCTAGTATCATATTATATATTACTTACCTACAAAACTTACCCCTATCAAAACATTTTGAGGCAGATGCCTCATCACTAGTGTGATCGGCACACATTCTAGATGTGCATTTTTTAGTAGAGTTGTAGTTGTAGAAGCATGGTAAAATTTAGAACTATCTAGAGTGCTATTTTTATCATATTCCAAAACAAAATGGAAGCTTATTTGGACAACAAATAGTAGCCATGCATTATGAAGTTTGAAACTTTATTTACTTAAAACTAATATCTTATAGGTTATATTCTGTAGCCTATAGAGAACAAAACAATCTCTTTGTTAATTCACCCCCTATCAAATCATGGAATGGATTGGCCTAATCACCTACTAATTTGTATTACTCCTTGGATATTAAAATTCCTCGTGTTTCATTTCTTGTAGTAAAAGAAAGCCCTAGGACTCTCAAGACTATAGTTAATCATTTCTTTTAGTGTTGGATGTAGTGCTGAATTGGGTTGAAGTCATTGGAGGTGTTGTAGTGTGCCACAAAACCAAGGGAGTGGTCGTGTTGATTCAGTGGTACATCTTGATTTGAACTAACATGGGACATTGTAGAGGTTATTGATAATATAAGTTATTAGTTACATCTATGTATTAATATCTTATATATAGATGCTAATTAATTAATAGAGAATGTAATTATACATATGTTATTGACTCATTATCACATTCATAATATTTATTATTTAAGTCTTAATACAAATAATTTTATTTTATTTATTTATATTATGAAACTAATCTCAATTGGGTTTTATGAAGTCAAGAGGTGATTCTTTTATATTTTCTTGATAATTATTTAATTGTAAGGACTTAGGTGCACTTTAATTATGAGTTGAAAGTAATGAAAAGAGCCTAAGTCTTCAACCTAAAGAAAAGTCTAAGTCTTATGGAGAGGGTTGGCTTAATATATTTATGGGCCTAAGAGAGGGAGTCACTTTGGCCTAGCTCATTTGGACCTAAAAAGGTTATCAAGAGATGAGATCTAGGCAACCCATCTTAGGGCACCTTAAGATGAGATTAAGAAAATGATTAGAGCGTCACCCTCGTAGAAGAATTTGGGCCGTCCACCAAGAGAGTCGGTTATAAATCATAACCATATATTGGAGGCCTAATTCTCTAGAGGTTTAAGACATCTCACCCCCCTCTTGGAGGATGTTTTTTGACTCTCTCTTTAGTAGTGTGTAACTGAAAGAAAAATGACAGAAACCAAAGCTTGGTCAATAATATTTTTGTGCTCAAGATTGTTGTGGAGAAAAGACTAGTTAAAGTGCATCAAGATCATCACGGATCAAGTACCACTTAGCCTAAGATTGACATATAACAAGGTTTGTGCAAGATCTAGATTTGAGGCATCTTTGTAATCTTTTCTATGAATATATTAACTCTTAGTTCGAATTAGTTTTATCAATTGTTTTATCATTCTATTGCATTAGATTCATTCTCTCTTTTTTGTCACATTTTGTATTTCTCTTGTCTTCACTCTTTTTAGATTTAATTCTGCCCTACATGATCTCAAGTATATCTATATATATAAGAAATAAAATAAGTAAAGTTCTTACTCTCATTGTCTACACTTCTTAAGGAACGACCTTTATTTATTATTTACATAAATTTAGTTGCATCATGATGACATGTTTAATCTCTAAATCGAGTTCATCAGTCATACAAGAATAATTTTTCAGACTTACACCTTAAGGATGAGATCCATTTCCTAAGGCAATGGGGTAATTATGAGCCCCTTGTGTGCCTAATCTACACAAGAAGGATAAAGATGCCCAAAAACAATCTTAAGACCAACTAAAGAAGGGAACTTAAGTCATTTTTTCTAGTGTGGGAAAGGTATTATGGTTGGGCTAAGGTAGACATGGGAGAGAATCACATTATTGTGACAAAGGAGAGCAATGGTTCTCATCATCAAGTTCTTAAGCTTCTTTTGACAGCCCTAAACTTCTCATGCTATTCTAGTTAACTTAGGTTGTTATTTTCCTTCTTTGTGTCTAGAAAAATTGTGAGCAAATAGAAAAAATTCTATTATTTGAGTGGTAGAAGAGATGCCTCCTTATATTTTTCCTTTGTATAGTCTGCATCAAAAGTACATATTTTTGTCATAGTTTTCTCCAGGCTAGCACAACTACTATAAAATAACTCTTCCATCCACTTGTGAAACATATTGGTTTTCCTGAATTACTCATCCTCACTCTCTAGGTATCAGTGACAACATACCCCCAAAAATGTTCTTCTACTTTCACAATAGCCTCGTATAACATGCAAATTATTCTTGTTCACAAGTGCTCTTGTTGTTTTTCCCATAACTTTATTTACATTAAACTTTAGATAGTGGAATTGAGTCCAGTTGAGTTACAATCAGCTAATAAGAACATTTGGTGGCAACGTGAAACATCTTAATCTTCCTTATGTTTAAAATGTAGAGACATAGAAAGGGGTATGCAGAGTTTTTCTTATTTCTTCAACCATTTCATGACTGAGATCTCTTTCATATTAGGACACATAAGATAAACAAACTTAAGTTTTACATATCCCCATTATGTGGTATGATGTTCATCTCTTTTTTTTTCTATATCATAGGATTTTCTTGATTATATACTACATAATATTGAGGAACAAGAAGAGATCCATTAAGATAAATCTTTCGGAGAGAGAAAATCTAAACAGTTACATCAAATCACAAACTACACGAAAGTTGCCCCTTTTTCATAGGGATTTACCTATCACAAAGATGCACAGAGGAACAAAACAAACTTTTTGTTTGACATGACTTAGTCGTTGTATATTAAATCACACAAATCTAAAATTTATAAAATTAGAAAATATGATTTTTGAATATTTAAAAGTATTTCTGAATAAATATATCAATCATAATTCAATAAAATTTTCAAAAATATTAATAATTTTTTAAGTCGATCACAAGGATGCAATATAATATCTGATAATTTTTCAGAATTTTTTTCAAAGAATATGATTTTATATAAATTTTATATTAGGAAATGAAAAGGAAATATATTTAAAATTCATGAAAAAGGGAAATAAAGGTGCAAACACGAATCAGATAGAATTAGAGTTTCAAAAAAAGAAATATATTTAAGATGATGTCAGTAATTGGCGAATGTGAATCAAGTAGAAATAGAGTTTTGCTTGGTGATTCTTACGTAAGTGATTATATATGATTTAATTAATCAAATTAAGATCTGTAAAAGTCGAAAGAATCGTAATTAAATGAAGTATATTTTGGTAAATTAAAATTACACAAATTATCACTAAATGAAGCATAAAGTAAGTTGAAAGTAAGAAAATAGAGTTTTGGTATCGCGGCGGTGATGTGTCGGTGATGCACTAAAATCTTAAACATTCGAGAAGATTATCATGTAGTGTTCACGGCCTAAAAGACTCTTTTTGGACAAGGACGACGTGGGTAATCTTTAGATCTCCTTGTAAAGTCTAAAGATCAATGAAATAGGTCGTTGAGTCATCTCCAACGGCTGTCACCCGATGGAGTAGAAAAATAGTGACTTTGTGGCTCTCTGGTGGTTGTCACCCGATAGAGAGAAGTTGGATAGAGGTGGGGTACATGTTAAGAAGTTTCATCCTCAGGTTTGCATATCAAGAGGAAGCTCTTCATCGCATCTGATATGATGTTAAAAGGTGGCGACTCATCTCCTAGTGGATTGTTTTCTTTTCGATGACGGCTTGTTCGTCGATCAATCAAAGATGTTTTACTCAATAGATTTATGATCTTTTTGTCACAAATCTTTCAGTAATATTAGTCATAATGCTCTACCAATTGTGTTGACAAGATTTTCGTCGATGATCTAGTGATTCTAGTTACTTAAAAATCTTTCAGTAGTATTAATCTTTTATCAGTGATCTACAGGAAAGTCATGATAATCAAATAAAAAATATGAGTTTTGACTCTGAGAGGATTCAAACTCACGCCAGTTGCCCCGCTCTTTCTGAGGAAGGTGTGACAAATATATATTAATATTACATCTTTAAGTAAGTCCCTTCTCTTGTGTGTATGACTACTCTTTGCCCTACAACTGACTGGCCACTAGTGATGTGGAAGAGGAGTGGTGCATACGTGCCCTTATCGGTCTAAGTCGGTCGAGCCCTTGCTCGTGGTTACTCCTTGATTGAGCTTCTAACCCGCTTATAGGCTTGGGTGGCCAGTGGGTCCCCCTCATTTTGTCTTATTTTTATTTTTTTATTTCTTTTTCTTCATTTATCTCAAAAGTAAGACTATAAAAATTATATAAATTTATGTAAAATCACATAATTACTCAAAAATTCATATTAATCAATTAAAAACCACTTTTCACACTTTAACATAAATATAAGTTTATTTATCATGAGTGAAGGCTAAAACTATATTATTTACTAATTATTAACTCATGATAATGAAGATTTATCAATACTCATGGGGATATTTAATATTTTATAGAGAAAAATCGTAATAATATTTATTTCCTCATTACTATTTTTAATTTAGTTATTTTTATTTTTAATTCTAACAAGATTTTGAACAAATTTGGAAGGCTTATGAGTTACATTCAATTTGGTTCATTGGGTATTCACTCAACCAGTGAATTATATATTCTTGATTATTTATCAATGATTTTTAAACCCAAATCTTCTAAATCTGTGAGATAGAATCTTGAACGTAAGTTTCCATCCATAAGATTGAAATTTACAAAGCCAACAAGGTATAATTCTCCATGTAATAATGCTCAAAAGCTCATTGTAATATTATAGTTATCATGACATTAAAGATGTCAATAATTTTCCCTTGAATTATCTTTACCCCTCATGGATTAGTGTAGGGGATTTGATTCCTTTACTTAATTTTTCATTACTTTATTGTCTTGTGTGGGTTTTCTTGTCGAATCATTCTTAATCATTCAGGCCAGCTCTTACTTGTTTCCTTAGATTGGGAAGGGTCCCTTTGGAAGTCCTTTGTCCTACTCAGGGTTGGGGATGCGACCTAGAAAAGCTGCACTTAGAACCTTGGAAGTTTTCAGACACATTTAGAGCAATTCAGGATAGTTCTTCTGATGGTGGATGTCCAAGGGAGAGCCATAAGCTGGTGAAGGATTTGGGTTGCACCTTCTCAAGTCAGCTCATTGCTCTGCCCTTGGTCTAGTGCAGGAACTTAGTGGGGCCATTGGGCTTGTTCACCAAGACAGATTTGAACACCAAGATGTTGCTTTTGTGCACAGCATCCATAGTACATGTACTAGAGGGATGATGCCCTTCACACACATTGCTAGTTTATAAGCAGAAAATGCACAAATAAGTTGCACCCACAACATCTACAATGGTTAGGCCTCTAGTTTATATCCACTATGCTAAGAGTACATGCTGACTGTTCACTGATAAGTATATGTCATAATTCTTTTTAGGCTTATAATTAATCACATAAAGTTGAAATAAAAAAGAGCCCCAAAGAATACTTAGTTAAGAATCATAATATATAGACTAAGATCTAAAGGAGTACTTCAGCTGAATCATATACATCAATGACATAAAAAAATATCAATAGTAGAAGGAAATGATTTCTTGACATCTAACCATTTTTCCTTTGGCCTATGTAACTACCATATTGACAGAAATCCCTACAAGAAAGTAGTGAATAAGGGCTTCTATATATACCCCACCCCAATGAGATGAAAGGAGTGCTTCACAAATAGCAAACATTCAGTGCAGCTCTAGTAGGCAGAAGAGCCCTATACAATCATTGGATTGATTGACCCAAAACACAAAGGCCTTTGCTAGGATGTCAATTCCTGATTTTTTTTTTAATGGAAAACTTGGATCACTCCTTTGAAAACATTATGGAGATCCCTATCCATAGAGTCAGAGCTTTACTGACATCCCATAAGATCAGTTGTTTTATTACTAGATTGACTACTTTGAAAACATGGCCACATGGCTAAGCAAAGGTGTTCAACAACTTGAGCTATAGCCCTTGTGATTGACATTTTAAAAATGTACATAATTTCATGCCGCGATGGTTCGATAAAAAGAATACTATTAAGCAGCTTGTTCAAATTATGTTCTTCACTAATAATGGCTGAAACTAATGTGCCATGCTTTGGAGAGATTTCCATAGTGTCTAACAAGTCATCAGCTAGTACTTGTAAAATTAATATGTGTGCTTTTCTACAAATGAACTAAAAAAGCATATCCTTCAGGAAAATTACTAGTTTAATAATTAATGGCTCTTCAAAAATATTACAAATGCTCATTCAAAAATTTAAGAAAGCCATTTTGATTTCCCTATAGAGCATCAGTGAAACATTGATCACCAACAAACCTAGAAGAAATAATTTAAAAAATTAAGATCTATAAAAGTTAATTGGTCAAATTAAGATCTGTAAAAGTTAAAAGAATCATAATTGAATGAAGAATAATTTGAAAAATTTAAATCACACAAATTATCACTAAATGAAAAAAAAAATTAAGTTGAAAGTAGGAAAGATAGAGTTCTAACATTACGGCTGCGATACGTCGGTGATGCACTCGAATCCTAAGCATTCGGAAGAATTGTTGTGTTGTGTTCACGGCCTTGAAAGCTTTTCTTAGACAAGGATGATGTGAACAATCTTTAGATCTTCTTGCAAAGTTTAAAGATCAATGAAATGGGTCGGAGAATCATTTTTGACAACTATCACCTGAAAAAATAAAAAAATTGTGACTTTACAACTCTCTGGCGGCTGTCATTCGATGAAGAAGAGTTGGATGGAGGTGGGGCATATGTCAGTGAGCTTCATCCTTAGGTTCACACAATGATAATTACAACTTATTTATTTATATTATGAGACTAATCTCACTTAACTTTTATGAAGTTTAGTAGTAATTCTTTCACATTTTCTTGATAATTATTTGATTGTAAGGACCTTTTTATTATGAGTTAGAAGTAATAGAAGAAGCCCAAGTCTTCAGCCCAAAGAAAAGTTTGTCTTATGAAGAGGGCCAACCTAATATATTTATGAGCCCAAGAGAGGGCGTCACCTTAGCCTAACTCATTTGAATAAAAAACTATCAAGAGATAAGATCTATACTGCTCATCTTAGGGCATCTTAAGATGAGATTAAGAAGAGGATTAGAATGCCACCCTCATGGAATGATTTGGGCTCTCCATCAAGGGAGTTAGTTATAAATCATAACCGTCAATTGAAGGGGCCTAACTCTCAAGAGTATTAGGGTACTTTTTGACTCTCTCTCTAATAGTGGCTAGCTGAAAGAAATAGGAGGGAAATAAGGCTTGATGAAAGACATTCTTGTGTCTGAAATTATCATGGAGAAGAGATTACCTAGAGCATATCAAGATCGTCATGGATCAAGCATCACTTGGCCTAGGAATAACACACAACAAGGTTTGTGTAAGATCTAGATTTGGGGTGTCTTTGTAATCCTCTCCATGAATAGATTAACTTTTAATTCAAACTAGTTTTATCATTTATTCCATCATTCCATTGCATTAGATCTATTTTTCTCTCTTTGTCACACTTTCCATTTCTTTCATCTTTACTTCTGTTAGATTAGTTCTGTCTTTCACAATCTCAAGTATATATATGTATGCAATCTCTAAATCTTATTGCGAAGTCTAGAGATCAATGAAATGGGTTATTGAATCATCTTCGATGATTGTTACTTGACAAAGTGGAAAAATGATGACTTTGCGGCTCTTTGGTGGCTGTTACTTGACAGGGAAGAACTAGATAGAGGTAGGGTGCATGTTAGTGAGCTTTATTTTTAGGTCCACCTAATAAGAGGAGGTTCTTCATCACATCCGGTATGCTCTCAAGAGGTGGCAACTCATCTCTCGGCAAATCATCTTCTTCTTGATGATGACTTATTCGTTGATCAATTAGAGAAGATTTACTCAATAGATTCATGATCTTTTTATCGTGAATCATTTAACAATTTTAGTAACAATGCTCTACAAATCGCATTGACAAGATTTTCATCAATGATCGAGTGATTCTGATGGCTTAATCTTTCACTAGCAATTTGTAAGATAATCATGATTTAATCAAATAAAAATATATATTTTAGCTTTGGTAGTATTCAAACCTCCACCGGTCACCTACTTGCATGAGAGAGAGTGAATAAGTACTCTAATACCCCTATAAAGTGATGTCATCATATATCGTTGTTATAACTAAGGGGTATTTTAAGTATTGAATTAATCAACACTATTTCGGGAAAGGTAAGATGTAGGTTTAGTCTCATATCAGTTGTACATTAAAGTTTTGGAGGAATATATAGTAATATTAGATTTAGAAGTAATGAGTCCCTTTCTCACGTGTGTATGACTACTCTTTGCTCTACAACCAATTGGCTACTAATGACGTGGAAAGCAAGTGATGCACATGTGCCCCCATCAGTCTATAGCCACTCGAGCCCTTACTTGCAACTCTACTTGGATTACACTTTTGTCTTACTTGTGGGCCCAGCTGACTAGTAGGACCCCCTTCTTTTTTTCTCTTTTTATTTTATTTTCTTTCTCTTCATTTATCTCCAAAATAAGATTATAAAAATTATATAAAATTATATAAAATCACATAATTAGCTAAAAACTCACATTAATCAACTAAAAATCACTTTTCATAATTTAACACAAAATTAAGTCTATTTATCATGAGATGACTAAAACTATATTATTTATTAATTATTAACTCATGATACTAAAGACTTATGAGTCACTATGAAAATGAGCTGACCTTATTTCTCTCTTTCTTCATTTTCATCTTATTTCTCTCTCTCCCTCTCTTGTGAGACCTCTCTTCTCTCTCTGTCTCTCGTGAGATCTCTCTCTTTCTCTCCCTCTTTCTTACTCGATCTCTCTCTCTCCTTCTTTCTCTCTCATGAGACTTTTCTCTCTCTTCATCTCATGTGAGATTTCTCTCCTCTCTTTCTCTCCCTTTCATGAGAGATCTCATCTCTTTTCTTTCTCATGAGAGCTCTTTCTTCTTGCTCTCTTTCCTCGCTTTTCTCTACTTCCCTTTCTTTATTTTTCTCACCTCACCCTTTCATTTTATTATTTCTATTAAATATTAATAAAATATTAAAATCACTTTATATATAAACTAAATTAGTTTTCACGACAAATTAATCAATCTCCTTGTGTTCAACTTGAGACTAACTTCTATACTAGTATTTTATTAAGTCTTAGCTATAAATATTATTAGATAATATGCATTTAAACACAATGACAAGTGCACATCAACCCTCAACTCCCACTTAGTTTTTACTTCACAATCCAAAAAAGATTGAGTCAAAAGAGGAGAATTTATTTTTGAATCAGGATATTAATTTTGGGTATATCAAAGCATGTGACGTGACTCAGTCCTTGTATATTAAATCACGCAAATATAAAATTTATAAAACTAGAAAATATGAATTTTCGGATATTTAGAAGTATTTCTAAATAAATATATTAATTATAATTCAATAAAAATTCCAAAAAAAACAATAATTTTCCAGGTCGATCACAGGGATGTAATATAATATCTGGTAATTATTCAGAATTTTTCTCAATGAATACGATTTTCTTACGAATTTTATACTAGGAAATAAAAAGGAAATATATTTAAAATTCACGAAAAAAAAGGAAATAAGGGTGCGGGTGTCAGGATGATGTCAGCGCCTCGCGAATGCGAATCAGGCAGAAACAGAGTTCCACCCGGCGATTCTTATGTAAGCAATTACAGACGACTTAATTAATCAAATTAAGATCTGTAAAAGTTGGAAGAATCTTAATTGAACAAAGTATAGTTTGGTAAATTAAAATCACACAAAGTATCACTAAATGAAGCGTAAATTAAATTGAAAGCAGGAAAACAGAGTTCCGGCATCACAACGGCGATGCGTCGGCAATGCACCGGAATCCTGAGCGTTCGGGAGGGTCGTCGTGTAGTGTCCACAGCCTCGAAGGCTCTCCTTGGACAAAGACGACGTGGGCAATCTCTAAATCTTATCGCGAAGTCTAGAGATCAATGAAGTGGGTCGTCGAATCGTCTCTGGCGGCTGTCACCCGGCAGAGCGGAAAAACGGCGACTTTGCGACTCTCCGGCGGCTGTCACACGACGGAGCGGAAAAACGGCGACTTTGCGGCTCTCCGGTGGCTGTCACCCGACAGAGAGGAGCTGGATGGAGGTGGGGCGCGTGTCAGGGAGCTTCATCCTCAGGTCCGTGCAGCAAGAGGAGGCTCTTCATCGCATCTGGTACGCTCTCAGGAGGTGGCGACTGGTCTCCCGACGGATCGTCCTCTTCCCGACGACGGCTTGTTCGTCGATCAATCAGAGATGATTTACTCGATGGATTCACGATCCTTTTATTGCGAATCGTTCAGCAATTTTAGTAGCAATGCTCCGCGAATCGCGTTGACGAGATTTTCGCCGATGATCCAGCGATTCTCGTTGCTTAATCCTTCACCGGCGATCTGCAGGAAAGTCGCGATAATCAGATAAAAATATATGAATTTTGACTCTGGGAGGATTCGAACCCGTGCCGGTCGCCTGCCCTCTTCTGAGGAAGGTGTGACGGGGGTTTAGTCCCACATCAGTTGTACACCGATTTTTCGGGCGAATATATAATAATGTTAGCTTTATCAGCAAAGTCCCGTCTCTCGCGTGTACGACCACTCCTTGCCCCACAGCCGACTGGCCCACTGGTGACGTGAAAGGGGAGTGGTGTACGCGTGCTCTGTCGGTCCCTAAACCAAGCCACTCGAGCCCCTGCTCGGGGCTTACTCCCCGACTGCGCTTCCGACCCGCTTGCGGGTCCCCCCATTTTTGCAATATTTTTATTTTTACTCCTTGTTCTTCATTTATCTCAAAAGTAAGACTGTAAAAATTGTATAAAATCACATAATTACCCAAAAATTCACGTTAATCAATTGAAAACCAAAAATCATTATTTAACACAAATATAAGTCTATTTATCATGAGTTAAGGCTAAAACTATATTATTTACTAATTATTAACTCATGATAATGAAGACTTATCAGCATGCATATGATTTATGTGAAACCATAAAAGAAAAGTATGACAAGTAAGTTGTGTAATATGCAGTTTTGTCCTAGTCATCCCCCCTGCATCCAGCTCATGCATCATCCCTAATATTTTGAGGTAAGTGTGATAGAATTGCAAACTGAAGATATAAAGCTCCATATGCATACTTACCTACAATGGCACCTAATTCAATTCTCATGTACCTAAATAAAAGAAGAAGAGCAAAATCGCTAGGGTCTGATCTGTTAGATTGCTTCATTAATCAGTAAAAAAAAACAAAATATAAAAGAAGGAAATGAACAAAAAATTGAGTTTGAGGAGACTTAGGGTAGATTGACCTTGGGGGTCAATTCTTTCGCTATTCTGTCAGAGGTGTGAAGATGAATTGCTATTGACGATGTTAGAATTTCACCCTCCACATAAGGTTTAAGCCTCTAGCCATTCACCTTGAAATTTTTTCCTGATTTCAGATCTACAATTAATACAGCACCACAGTCATATAATTTAATGATGATATAAGGACCATCCCATCTAGATTTAAGCTTACTTGAAAATAATTTCAATCTAGAATTGTAAAGCCAAAGTTTTTCATTGATGTGAAAGGTCTTACATGATTATACTTATCATGAAAACTTTCTCTTTGACTTTATAAATTTGTGCACTCTCATAGGATTCATTTTGTAACTTTTGAAGTTCATGGAGCTGAAGAATGTGGTTTTTGCCAGCCTAATTAAGAGACAAGTTGTGTTCCTTGATGGCCCAATTGGCCTTGTGTTCTAGCTCAACAGGCAGATGGCATGGTTTGCCAAAAATAAGTCTATATGGGAACATGCCTAAAGGAGTTTTGTAGGTAGTCTAATGATTTTTTTCAAAATATTTTTGACTTCTCTATTGGTGACTTCTACTTGGCTGTTAGCTTGTGGGTGATATGGAGTGGTAATTCAATGATGTACCCCATATTTTTTCATTAGGGCTTTAAATTGATAATTATTAAAGTGTGACCCCCCATCACTGATTATAGCCCTTGGATACCCATATCGAGCAAAGATATGCTTAGATAAGAACTTGACCATAATCTTGTGATCATTTGTTCTAGTGGGGGTAGCCTCAATCCATTTTGAGACATAATCAACACCATGAGTATATATTTATAGCTTGAGGGGGGAGGGAAGGGTCCCATAAAATCAATAATTTAAGATTTGAGGACTTTAACTAATGACAGTGATAAGTCTTCATTATCATGAGTTAATAATTAGTAAATAATATAGTTTTAGCCTTAACTCATTATAAATAGACTTATATTTGTGTTAAAGAATGATTTTTGGTTTTCAATTGATTAACGTGAATTTTTGGGTAATTATGTGATTTTATACGATTTTTACAGTTTTACTTTTGAGATAAATGAAGAACAAGAAATAAAAATAAAAATATTGCAAAAATGGGGGGACCCGTCGGCCAGCCGTGCCCGCAAGCGGGTCGGAAGCGCAGTCGGGGAGTAAGCCACGAGCAGGAGCTCGAGCGGCTTGGCTTGGGGACCGACAGGGCATGCGTACGCCACTCCCCTTCCACATCACCGGTGGTCAGCCGGCTGTGGGGCAAGGAGTGGTCATGCACGCGCGAGAAGGAACTTTGCTCACAAAGCTAACATTAGTATATATTCGCCCGAAAAATCGGCATACAACCGATGTGGGACTAAACCCCCGTCACACCTTCCTTAGAAGAGGCGGGCAACCAGCGCGGGTTCGAATCCTCCCAGAGTCAAAATTCATATATTTTTATCTGATTATCGCGACTTTCCTGCAGATCGCCGGTGAAGGATTAAGCAACGAGAATCGTTGGATCATCGGCGAAAATCTCGTCAACACGATTCGCGGAGCATTGCTACTAAAATTGCTGAACGATTCGCGATAAAAGGATCGCAAATCCATCGAGTAAATCATCTCCGATTGATCGACGAACAAGCCGTCGTCGGGAAGAGGACGATCCGCCGGGAGACCAGTCGCCACCTCCTGAGAGCGTACCAGATGCGATGAAGAGCCTCCTCTTGCTGCGCGGACCTGAGGATGAAGCTCCCTGACACGCGCCCCACCTCCATCCAGCTCCTCTCCGTCGGGTGACAGCCGTCGGAGAGCCGCAAAGTCACCGTTTTTCCGCTCCGCCGGGTGACAGCCGCCAGAGACGATTCGACGACCCACTTCATTGATCTCTAGACTTTGCGAGAAGATTTAGAGATTGCCCACGTCGTCTTTGTCCAAGGAGAGCCTTCGAGGCCATGGACACTGCACGACGATCCTCCCGAATGCTCAGGATTCCGATGCATCGCTGACGCATCGCCGTCGCGACGCCGGAACTCTGTTTTCCTGCTTTCAATTTAATTTACGCTTCATTTAGTGATACTTTGTGTGATTTTAATTTACCAAACTATACTTCGTTAAATTACGATTCTTCTGGCTTTTACAGATTTTAATTTGATTAATTAAGTCGTCTGTAATCGCTTACGTAAGAATCGCCGGGTGGAACTCTGTTTCTGCCTGATTCGCGTTCGCCGGGCGCTGATGTCATCCTGACGCCCGCACCCTTATTTCCTTTTTTTTCGTGAATTTTAAATATATTTCCTTTTTATTTCCTAATATAAAATTCGTAAGAAAATCGTATTCATTGAAAAAAATTCTGAATAATTACCAGATATTATATTACATCCCTGTGATCGACCTGGAAAATTACTGCTATTTTTGGAATTTTTATTGAATTATAATTGATATATTTATTTAGAAATACTTCTAAATATTCAAAAATTTGTATTTTCTAGTTTTATAAATTTTATATTTGCGTGATTTAATATACAATGACTGAGTCACGTCACAACCGTTGGAAATGACTCGACGACCCATTTCATTAATCTCTAGACTTCACGAGAAGATCTAGAGATTGCCTACGTCGTCCTTGTCCAAAGAGAGCCTTTGAAGCCATAGACACTATATGACGATCCTCCTGAACACTCAAGATTCTGGTGTATCGTCGATGCATCGCCGTCATGACGTCGAAACTCTATTTTCCTACTTTCAACTTACTTTATGCTTCATTTAGTGATTAATTTTTGTATTTTTAATTTACCAAAATATATTTTGTTCAATTATGATTCTTTCAACTTTTATAGATCTTAATTTTATTAATTAAATCGTCTATAATCGCTTACGAAAGAATCACCGAGTGGAACTCTATTTCCGCCCGATTTGTGTTCGTCAGGCATAGACATCATCCCAACGTCCACACCCTTATTTTATTTTTTTGTGAATTTTAAAGATATTTCCTTTTCATTTCCTAGTATTTTAAATTTTGGCACTGTTGTCGGGGATGTATTGCGTAATATTTAATATTTTTCTATTTTTCTCTTAGAGTACATAAAAAAAATAAATTTAACTCTTATTTTATTTTCTTTTTGCCGATTTGTTATTAGAAAAAGGAAACGAAAATAAGCAAGGCAAGGACTGAAGCATCTTGAAGGAGGGTAATAGTTACTAACTTTTTCCCTTGAATTATTGATTTTTATGCATGGTAGAAGATCCTTGCATCAAAGGCTAGAAAATACTTTCATTATTTCATTCAAAAATAAAAACCTGAAAGAAAAATTAATTTTGATGGATCTTGAAGGAAGTACAGGTCAAATTGAGAACAATCCTGTGGCCATGAAAAATCATTATATCCCTGATTCATTTCAAAGAGCATCAAATATTAGAGTCCCATTAGCACCCATTGTTAAATTTGAAATAAATCTAGGAATTTTTTAAATGCCCCTTAATTTTCATAGATTGACTTTAGAGGAATCTCATCAGCACTTAGAAAAATTTCATATGATCTGTGATTTAGTTAATCTCCCTCAAGTTACATCAGAAATTATTAAGATGAAATTATTCTCTCATATACTTAGGGACAAACTAGCCATTGGCTATCCACATTAAATAGAGAATTAACTAGCTAGAAAGACATAGAACAAACAAACTTTTCTTCGAAAATTTTATCCCTTAGGGAAAACTCAAAATATGAGAAAACATATATGGAGTTTTTCTCAAAGACTAGGAGAAACTTTACATGAGACATGGGAAACATTCAAAGATTTACTTAGAAAGTGCTCTCATCATGCTATACCCAAGTAGCAGCTCAATAGAATTTTTTATGATGGATTATTAGAACAACATAGAAATATGGTTGATTCTATATGTGGAGGAGCTTTTATGGAGAAAATTCCTGATGAGATTTACAGTCTTTATGAGAATTTAAGTGAAAATTTGAGAGATCAAGCCTCTTTTGAATTATATGACAAAGATATGAAGAGAGAAATTTATGAATTGCATCATCATGATGATTCTAAACTTAGAAATGAGGTTAATCAGATTAATTAAAGATTAGAAAAACTTAATTTACTTATTGACAATATTAGAAAGTCTCTTAACCCTCAATTTAATTCAAATAGTACACGTCCTATGTATGGTGAAAATGATCATTTCGAATTGCAATATCATCATAAGCAAGAACAAGTGTAGGTACCCCACAATTTTAGTAAAAATAGAGAATATTTTTCTAATTCTTATAATCTTAATTGGGGGAATAATTTTTCGTGGAGAAATCCAAATAATATTCAAAATCAGAAGTACTTAGATCCAATTCACATTTTGAATTTCGTCTAAAATAGGAACATAGATTTCAGAAAAATCAGTCCTCTCAAATCCAACCTGATGCTATGGAAATGATACAGCAAATGAGCCAAATGATGCAACAAATGAGCCAAATGATGCAACAAACTATGAATCAAATGAAGCTGCACCAGAAATAAATTATAGAGGCTCTTGGGAATAAGAGAGAAGAGGGACAACTACCTAGTTAGCCCATAGAAAATTCAGAAAATTGTCCAATAGTAGAATTTCAGCAAGAAGAGTTTAGCTAAATAAATTTAGAAAAAAACCCACGAAATAAAAATGTTAGGACAGTGAATACATTGAGTGAGAATATTTTACCTGATCCTTATTTCTAATTATTAGAAGAAATTGATGATCTATTAGAAGTAAATGAGAATATTAAGGCCGAAAATATAGTAGTAGAAAATTTGAATAAAATCATTTATTACTTACAATTGATGAATGAATATAGTGAGGATGATGAAGAAAAAGAGCCCTTAGATGAAGAAACAACAACTGATCATGGAAAAATCATCCAAATTTTAGTACAAGGGAGTAAAGACAAAAATGAAGAAAAACATATTTCAGGTGAGGAAAAATCAGTTGATTTGGGAGACGTAGGAGACGAAATTAATAAATCTAATCATAATTTTGCAGCCATGGATGTTGATTGTGAGGATGATGATGTATATCATATACCGAAATTAAAAGATAGCTCTTAGGAAGATGAAGAATTTGATGAGTAAGAAACAAAAAGCTAGAAAAAGAGTTGATTCAACTAATGGGGAGAAACGGAAATAATGGATATGAATATAGAGATAATTTTGGAAGAGAAAATTTAAATTTTACTGAATTCATTAGATCTGAGATTAAAGAAGACAATCCTTCCATCCTTCAAAACCAACAGCCCATTATAATTATTTCTAAGCTTGAAATATTTCACTCTTCGCAAATTAAACAAATATGTATGAAAGATAAAATGGAGCAAGGGAAGATTATGTAGATAAAAGAAGACATTAAGAAATGGATGAATAGAAGAATTAGAGATATCAATTTAGATGAAAAAATTTTAGATTGGGTAAGAGCTAATTTGAAAATTATATGGCTTGATCACATTTTATGGTCTATTAATAGAAAGTATTTATTAATGAATGAAAGCCTTACAAAACAAAATAGAAATGAGGAAAGATTCTTTTCAAAATGGAAATATTATTTTTGGGAAAAAAATTTAATTTCTATTTTTTTTTGGCTGAAAGTATGTCAAGGTATATATATGAAGTATACGAATTTACGCTAAATCTGAAAAAAAATATCATGAAACTTACCTTGGGATACAAATATATTTTGATGGCCATAGATCATCTTATATAATCTAAGAGTTGTCTAACTGGAGACATTAAATTCAGCGCTACATGGGAGGCAACCCATGATTTTTATTTCATTCTATTTGATTTTTTTTTAAGCTCTGTTTTTCTTAAAATTTCCTAGTACTTGTTTCTGTATTTGTTTTTTTCAAAAAAGTGCAGGAGAAAGAGTGTAAGATGAAGTGAAAAATTAAAAACGAGGTTGAGGTGATGTCTTTCTGAGCTTTATCATTTACGAAAATATTTTTAATGCTTAACTTTGCACATATGCATGCTTCACGTGAAAATTATATTTTCTGCATATTCTATTTCGATTTTTCTATGTCATTGAGGACAATGTCATTTTTAAGTTGGGGGGTGAAGTATTCATTATTAATTTATGTTGTAAGACGATTAAGAACATGTGTTTACATTTTATTCAACTTAGAACAGCAACTAAAAAAATAAAAAAATAAAAAAATTCAGAAAAACTACAACATCTATTTTCTGGTTTTCTGTCAGAAACAACAGACTATCAAAAATAGTAGACAAAAAACAACTTGAAATTTGAAATTATAGAAGACCCTTTTCTCACATTTCAATCCCCTAGATATATATTACTGAAATTCAAAATTACAACTATAAAGAGGATAATTTTGATTTATTTTTGACAAATTTACTACTACTAAAAATAGAACTGAAAATAGAAAATAGAACTACCAGAACTATCTAATTTACAAATTTCTTACATTATATTGCATGCATGAAAAATTAAATCAATTAGATTTGATTGATACCAAATAGATACTAGGAAGATTATTATTGAGTCAAAAGAATGATCTAGTAGCATGAAATGTTGGAATACTCTTTGGATACATGATAATTTTTGTGATTTTAATTTACCAAAATATACTTTGTTCAACGACAATTCTTTCGACTTTTACAGATCTTTACTTGATTAATTAAATTATCTGTAATTGCTTATGTAAGAATCACCGGGTGAACTCTATTTCTGCCTGATTTGCATTCGTTGGGGGTGTTGATGTCATCTTGATGTCCACACCCTTATTTTCATTTTTCATGAATTTTAAATATATTTCCTTTTCATTTCTTAGTATAAAATTCATAGAAAATTGTATTCATTGGGAATAATTCTGAATAATTTCCAGATATTATATTACATCCTTGTGATCGACTTAGAAAATTATGGCTATTTTTGGAAGTTTTATTAAATTATAATTGATATATTATTCAAAAATACTTCTAAATATTCAAAAATTCATATTTTCTAGTTTTATAAATTTTAGATTTGCCTGATTTAATATACAACGGCTAAGTCGCATTATTTACCCTCCTTCAATATGCTCCAGTCCTTGTCTTGCTTCTCTTCATTCCCTTTTGTTTAAAAAAAAACTCAACAAAAAAAAAAAAATATTTTTTGTATACTCTAGAGAAAAATAGGACAATACTAAATATTATGCAATACATCCCCAAAAATGGTGCCAAATTTAACATGACTTAGTCGTTGTATAGTAAATCATACAAATTTAAAATTTATAAAACTAGAAAGTATGATTTTTCACATATTTAGAAGTATTTCTGAACAAATATTCCAATTATAATTCAATAAAACTTCCAAAAAAATATCATTAATTTTTCCAATCGATCATAGGGATGTAATATAATATCTAGTAATTATTCAGAATTTTCTTCAAATAATACTATTTTCTATGAATTTTATACTAAAAAATAAAAAGAAAATATATTTAAAATTAACAAAAAATGGAAATCAGGGTGCAAACATCAGGATGACGTCAATGCCTTGGAAAATGCAAATCGGGCAGAAATAGAGTTCCACAAGGCAATTCTTACGTAAGCGATTACAGACAATGTAACTGATCAAATTAAGATCTATAAAAGCCAAAAGAATCGTAAGTGGACGAAGTATATTTTGGTAAATTAAAATCACACAATTTTTCACTAAATGAAGCGTAAAGTAAGTTGAAAGCAAGAAAATAGAGTTCTGGCATCGCGACGGCAATGCGTCGGTGATGCACTAGAATCATGAGCGTTCAGGAGGATCATCATATAGTATCCACGTCCCCGAAGGCTCTCCTTGGGTAATCTCTAGATCTCCTTACAAAGTTTCGAGATTAATGAAATAGGTTGTCGAATTGTCTTCAACGGCTATCACCTAGTGGAGTGGAAAAATAGCGACTTTGCAGCTCTCTAACGACTGTCACCCAACGAAGAGGAACTGGATGGAGGTAGAGCACATGTCAAGGAGCTTCATCCTCAGGTCTGCACAATAAGAGGAGGTTCTTCATCGCATTTGGTACACTCTTAGGAGGTGGCGACTCATCTCATGGCAGATCGTCCTCTTCCCCACGATAGCTTGTTCGTCGATCAATTAGAGATGCTTTACTCGATGGATTCGCGATCCTTTTATCGCGAATCATTCAGTAATTTTAGTAACAATATTTCGCGAATTGCATTGACGAGATTTTCACCAATGGTCCAATGATTCTGGTTGCTTAATCCTTTACTGGTGATCTGTAGGAAAGTCGCGATAATCAAATAAAAAAATATGAGTTTTTTGGCTCTAGGAGGATTCAACCTTGTACTAGTTGGCCACCCTTTTTGGGAAGGTGACATGGGTTTAGTCCCACATCGGTTGTGCACCAAATTTTCAGGTGAATATATAATAATGTTAGATCCTTAAGCAAGTCCCTTTCTCGCACATGTACAACCACTCTTTGCCCCACAATCGACTGGCAACTAGTGACGTGGAAAGGGAGTGATGCACACATGCTCCTATTGGTCCAAGTCGCTCGAGCCCCTACTCGCAGCTCCTCCCCGACTGTGCTTTCGACCCGCTCGCAGGCCCGATTGGCCAGCGGGTCCCCTCATTTTGTAATATTTTTATTTTTATTTTTATTTCTTTTTTTTTATTGATCTCAAAAGTAAGACTATAAAAATTATATAAATTTGTATAAAATCACAAAATTATCCAAAAAATCACATTAATCAATCGAAAACTACTTTTCACACTTTAACACAAATATAAGTCTATTTATCATGAGTTAAGGCTAAAACTATATTATTTACTAATTATTAACTCATGATAATGAAGACTTATTAGAGTTCCATCACCATTGGTTGCATTGATACATGCTTGATATTCTATGTTCATAAAAGAGGAGAAGAAGGTGTATGTCTAATTTTCAGGTAGGAGGAAACTCAAACCCTAAGTAGCCACAACTGAGAGTGACTTGCTTCTAGAGGAGTGAGACCCACTATTTACGTGTGATGTGAGTAAAATCCTAGCTTATAGTATGAAACCTAGAGAGAAGTAAGTTTTTCCCTTCATGACCACCAGCTCTTTCCAAAATTACAAAGGGATCAATCATGGATGTTTAGTATTTCATGGGGATATTCACGCTTAAAAGTACTATTGATAGTCTGAACACTTCATGCTTATATCTTTTTATTTTAAGGATGGATGGATAACTTGAGAAAACATAAGGACACTGCTAAGGGACTAGTAATGAATTAAGTTGGGGGGTGTTGATAACCTGATATTTATGTTGATTATTCCTTACATTTCATCTGGTTTTTGTTTATTTAAATCCTGAAAATATCATGTTATTAAGAAAATGATTTAAATATTTTTGGATTTGCATTAATTTCACTATTTGCACACTATGTATGAATTTTGCATAATTTTTGACTAACCCTACTTGACTTCATTAAAGTCAAGCAGTTTTATTACTAATAAATATTTTCAAGTTTTCATGCATGCAGAATTTAACAGAAATCAACAATAAATTAAGAGCATTTTAGTGGACGAAAGTTAGCTTAATGGGCTAGTAGTACTTTGGAGGAATTTCGGATTTGGATCTTCAAAGAGAAATTAGAGGAGGTTCGGGGGCCATGTCCAGGCCCATTTAGACCCGCCTAAGTCCGTAGAGGAAGCGATGTAGAAATTTATGGAGAGAGACTAGGGAATTATGAAGGGGCATTTTAGTCATACTTACCCTTGTATAAAGACTCTCTTCCTCCCTCTTTCCCATCCCATTCTGGACGTGCTCTAGCAACGGCTAGCTAGTAGGACAAGACATTCTCCAGGATTTGAGGTATCCACCTTGATAGATGTAAGTCGTTTTGACGCGTTCACTCTTGTTCTTCTCCTTCTTGCAGTGAAAAACGCCTGATCCTAGCGGAATATAAGGATCCAAGAAGAGGAAGGAGTCTTGAGGGCTCAAAGGACGAACATCAGCACCCATTTTCTGCTGTTTCCCATCGCTGTCTTCCGTTCTGCCCCCTCCAGCTGCTCCACGTTTTCCTCTGTTTTCACCCATCGTTCCTTCTCTCTGCGCCTTCTCCCGAAGCCTCCGTCTCTTCCCGCCGTCTCCTGTCGCACCGGCTGGCGAAATGCTCCCTGTCACTCGCTACGTGCCCGTCGCTCCTCGTCTCTCTCGTTCACCGAACACCACTGCCGCCTATCGCAAGTAGCCGCACGTCCGCTGAGCGCCGCCGCGTGCCCATCGCCAGCCGCCCCACGTCTGCCGACCACTGCCGTCGCCTTTCGCCAGCCGCCATGCACTCGCTGCCGGTCTCTGTGAGCCTGTCGCTCTCTCTCTCTCTCTCCCTACCCTTCCAGATGTAACCGAAAGTCCCAAATTTCAGATAGGTCCGGAACGGTCACAAGAGATTTGCAACCCGCGCAGCCCATCCTTGGACCCGACTGTCAACTGCCAAGGTAAGTTATTTTAGTGGATCGACCCCTTATTCGCCCTACATGTCTAATATAGAGTAACTAAGTAGAAAATTTATTATTGATTAAGTTTGAATTAAAATAGCAACATAAAAACCCTTAAATTTGGACTTATCAAACAATTGGAGACACTAGTGTGGCAGCTTGATTTCGTTTGGACATGTCACACCACACCAAAAGTCATTTAAGTATCTTCTGAAAGTATTGTGCTGCTCACTGGAGAGATCCATTGAAGGAGGGGTCGACCACGCTGTCACTATCATCTTGGAAGAGAAGGGAAGAGTTGACCACTCACGAGAGGCCTTGAGTATAGTCAAGGGAGGAAGGAACAAGTTTTGCCAATCACTAGAGACATTGATTGTACAAAAAGAGGAAGGAAACGAATTGTCATTTTCACGTTAATCATTCAGATTATAAAGATAATTGATAATATCTATTTTAGTAGATAATAATTAATTACTGCTTTTATATCTCTAATGATGATGTGTAATAACTTAACTTTCTAGTATCGTGGTGCTTCGGGAGCCACTAGATTAGATGTGCTTGGTTACATGACACATTAAGTAATGTAGGATCAACCTGCCACGAACTGCTGCCGACCAAGAACTTAAGTTCCTAGTATCATGGTGACTCCTTAGTCATTAGATCGTCCTTTAAAGTCACGTGCGTGTTGAGTGGTGTCAGATTCACAAATCATCAATGGATCCCTTTACACATCTAGTATCATGTGATTTGCTAGCCGTAAGATCTGACTAATCTAATGAGGTGGCTCATTGAATACCATTAGATCACACCATGCTCTAGATGGCTGCACTAAAATTGATGAAAATAATTACTCCCACATTGGAAGTCCATCATTGTTTAAGCTGAATAAATCAAAGTTACTTTATCTTAGTAGAGATCTCTTCTCCTAAAATCAAATAATGTCTAGTACCATCTTGAGAGAAGGTGAAAAAGTGGTCCACCCTCTCGCACATGTGTGTATGGATGCTCCATGCCCCATGCCCAGTTGGCCACTGGGACATAGAAGGGAAGTGACACACATGTGCGTAGAGTGAGTCCTTTGCCACTTGAGCCCAGCTTGTGGCTGCCTTGGTCTAGGTCTACCCACTTGACCACAACACCCTTGTGGGTTAGCGAGTGAAATATTTTTTATATTTTTAAATAATATAAAATTAAGTTAAGTATTTTAAATTCAAACTTCTAAAATTAAAAAAATAAAATAAAATAATAAAACTAATTAAAACACAAAAATCTAGCTTTAATAATATGCGGCATTTCTGTTGATATATCTGATGTGGGACTAATAGTTTTCTCTGTTTTAGAGCACTAGTTTGTGATGGGCATATCCTATAGTAGTCAACATATCATGTGATCAGAAAAGACTAATCTCATAGTGGGAGAAGTGCCATGATATCTAAAACATAAAGTATGAGGTTTGTGGTTCATGAATCCTATATTGCTTAGCATGCCACATGATGGGAAAGACTAATTGTATGGCAAGTGAAGCACCACAATACTTCCAAACTTAAAGCATTCATATGGCAGTAGTTTGTAATGAATTGATCATATGTCACTTAACACGTCACATGACAAGATATAGTTAATTTAGCAGCAAATGAAGCACCACGATACTGGGGACTTAAGTTCCTTGTTGACAGTGATTTGTGGCGAGTTAATCCTACATGCTCAACATGCCACATGACCAGCAACACTTGATCTAGTAGCAAGCAAAGTGCTACAATATTGATAACTTAAGTTCTCACATATATCAACATTAAGAATATAAAGATAATTTTTGACTATTATTTGGTAAAATTGACATTATTAGTTCTCTTTAAAATCTTGTCAATAGCTACAAATACAACATTTGTTTCTTCCTCTCCTTTACATGATCAATGCCTCTAATAGTTTCTTCCACTATTATTTGGAAGGCAGACTAACATTGAGTAATGTTAATTTTCCTATTTTTTTCATTTACTTACATTTACAATAAGTTATTTTCATTTTATGCATGTTTCAATTAAAATAAGTGGACTGATTCAAAATCTGATGAATAATCTTTGTTTCTTTTTAAAATCCTCCAAAACTTGTGAGAGATCAAATTGAAATTATGTCTAACTTATTTTCTATTAGTTTAATGAGTAAAATCTTGAAGTATTTATGTTCCTAATATTCTATGAATAAAAATTATTTTTCTAATTTTGAATGTAAAATCAGTGAGATTAAAGATTGATTAATGAGTATTTAAGTGTTAAAATAAGGAAAAAACCTTCATGTCTAACCTTATCTCATATGTGTGAATTCTTGAACACACATTCCTCTAAGAATCATGGTCACCGTAAAAATTAATTGACTATTTTCTCTCTCTCTTTATTATCATCTTAATTCTCTCTCTTGTGAAATCTCTCCCTCTCTTTTCTTTCTCTCATGAGACCTCTCCCTCTCTTTCTCTTTCTTGTGAGATCTCCTCTCCTCTCTCTTTCCCTCTCTTCATGAGAGATCTCTCCTGCTGTTTCTCTTCTACCTTAAAAATCCTTCACTTTGTAAATAATCCTTTCTTATCTTCCTTCTTTCTTCTATCCTTTCCTTTCTTGTCTCTCTCATTCTTTTTGTACATAATTTTATTTATATGGTTAATATTTATAATACTTGATATGTTCTTTATTTTTTTTTAAAGTCTTAAAAACTAAGAACAACTATTCATATAAATCAGATCAAATTTTCAGGACGGATTAATAAATCTCCCTGTGTTTGACCTGAAACTTACATCTATACTAAAATATTTTCTTAGTTATAAATTTTATTAGATCATGAGAATTTAAATACAGTAACATGTACACATCAGTGATAAAGGTGAATCAGATCCGATTTAAAAAATCAAGCAATGCATGAAAAGGCCTCTACATGAAGTATAATGGACAAATTTTCTATGTGGATCTAGTCTATTCAATCAGGTCAAATCAGCTAAATTGTCAACTCAAAAGGCCTCTACTTGACTGAGATAATTTGTGGCCACTCCATCTAGCTCATTCCAATGTGATTTTGCCCCTATATTGACATACTTGATTGAATTTAAGGTTCATGTAAGATATACTACTGAAAATAGAATTTGAACTAGATCAAAGTCTAGTTTCTCCTCCAACACTTGAAACAAGAAAATGAGAACAATTTTCATTTGGCACGACCTATTTGAATGAGAATGGCTATTATAGTACAAAACAACAATTATGCTCTCTCCTTTTTTCATATATTATCCTCCCATGGTTTTCTATGCATCAAGAAGTGCATTAATGTCTTCCAAAAATCCTATATACATTATAAGGGAAGAGGGTTGAGACAATCTAGCACAACTATTTTACATTATTCATTCTCTAGATATTTAGTTTGGGGCAAGCATCATTGTCCCAAATTGATCACTTTATCAAAAAAATGTTTATAGGAAAAGGTTAAGGTGTGCTCAAGATTCATGGTTTCTACTAGATCAGAGAAGGCAAAGTAGAAAGAGGTTCTTTGATAATAGTTTCTTAAAAGATACATTCATTTCAAATCAAATCACCTAAAATTATCTCCTTAATGTGCATCTATGCTTTAGGAACAACTCTCTATGAAACTTTTTCCAAGCCTTAGCCAAGTAATGTTATATGTTGTAATCATTTACTAGGGTGAACTTTGGAAATACAATTATTCTATTGTGTTGGTTTGACATCAACATGAATCATTTAAGAATTTTTTCCTATATACGATGATGTCTTTTTTTGTGAGTTTAGGTAAAGGCTATTCTTGTCTACCAAAATCCATTGAATGCACAGACCGAATCATGAACACATTCTATGTCTTAATGGCAAAGAAACTGACTGGGACTGTAAATGAAATGCCACAATACTTTGGTTGCTCAACCTCACAACTGACCATGGTGTTAGTCTCTCTCACCATAGATCATGTGGTTTTATTTTATATAATCAATTAGAGATGATTTACTTGATAGATTCGTGATCTTTTAATTAAGAATTATTCAATAATTTTAGTAACAATGCTCTATAAATCATATTGATAGGATTTTTGTTGATGATCAAATAATTATAGCAGCTTAATATTTCATCGACAATTTGTAGGAAAGTCACATTAATTAGATAAAAATATAAGTTTTGGCTCTAATAAGATTTGAACCTACATTAGTCACCCACTTGCATAAAAAAGATTGAAATAAGTAGTCTAATACTCTTATAAAGTGAAATCATCATAGTATATCAGTGTTATAACTAAGGGGTATTTGAGGTATTAAAATAATTCAAATCATTATGGGGAAAGTGTGATGTGGGTTTAGCCCCACATCAATTGTATGTAGAAGTTTTGGACAAATATATAGTAATACCACATTTAGAAGTAATGAGTCTCTTTCTTGCATGTACGACCATTCCTTGCCCCACTGTTGGCTAGCCATTAGTGACATGGAAGAGGAGTGGTGCACATGTGCCACCATCAGTTCATAGCCACCTCAAGCCCCTACTCGTGGCTCCACCTCAACTGTACTTCCAACTTACTTGTGGGCTTGGTTGGCCGGTAGGTCCCCCCCATTTTCTATTTTTTATTTTATTTTATTATATTTTATTTATCTCAAAAACAAGATTATAAAAATCATATAAATTTGTATAAAATCAGATAATTATTGAAACAAGTATATTAACTAACTTAAAATCACATTTCACAAATTAACACAAACTAAGTCTATTTACCATGAGTTAAGACTAGACTATATTATTTCTTAGTTATTAACTCATGATAATGAAGACTTATCAAATCCATTCTCTTGAAATAAAATAATACCTAGGACTATCTTCAGAGAAGATAAAAAGGTGGTCTGCCCTTGCACATGTATGTGTGTATGATGCTCTTTGCTCCATAATGTGACTTAGTCTTTGTATAGTAAATCACATAAATTTAAAATTTATAAAACTAGATAATATTAATTTTTGAATATTTAAAAGTATTTTTAAATAAATATATTAATTATAATTCAATAAAAGTTTCAAAAATAATAAAAGTTTTCTAGGTTGATCGTAGAGATGTAATATAATATCAAGTAATTTTCAAAAATTTTCTCAAAAAATATGATTTTTAATGAATTTTAGATTAAGAAATAGAAATAAAAATAAAATATATTTAAAATTCACGAAAAAGATAAATAAGGGTGTGGACATCAAGATGACATCAACACTTGACAAATGCAAATCGAGTAGAAATAAAATTTTGTCTGATGATTCTTACCTAAGTGATTACAAACGATTTAATTGATCAAATTAAGATCTATAAAAGCTAGAAGAATCATCATTGAATCAATAATAGTTTGATATATTTAAATCAAACAAATTATCACTAAATGAAGTAAAAATTAAGTTGAA